ACCAGAAACACAGCACCTCACACGTTCGGCCAACGCTTCCATCTCCAGTTTCAATGAAGCCTGGCCATGCTGCATGACAGATCACAACAAGTTCACAACAAGTAGCATAGAGCGAATGCACTTTGTGCGTGTTACCGGCCTTTGGAGCACTCATCAGCGCAACGATGATTGGCCGTGAGGTAGGTCGCATTAGCACATTCATCGCACCGCTCCAGGCTCGTGCATCTCTTGCAGTCCTACAGGCATGATGCATCTAAGACTCTAAGCACGCATGTCCAGCTGCTTCCCATGCAACACCATAATCTAGACATGCTAGCCGCTACAAGCTGCGCAGTGTCTTGACGGCACGAAATGCCAAAAAGTGATTTAGACTTGAACTCCCATCCTTGGAGCAAGCCTGGCAGGTGTTTCCAATAGCTGCCGTGCCCTGCTTGTAAGAACCCTCCGGGCAGGAGTCCAAGCATGAGTGGCCGTCGAGATACTTGGAGTTCTTGCATTCCGTACACCATTCGCTGGATTCGCACTTCTCGCAATGGTGCGCACAAGGCTCGCATGTGCGGCCAATATCTGAGACCCCACTGCTGTAGAAGCCCGTGGGGCATGTCGCATCACAAAACGTGGTCAATGGATTGAGATACGTGGACTCACGACACTGAGTGCAATGAGTCTCAGTCAGGCACTTGTTGCAAGGAGCTGCACAAGGCTTGCAGACCCGACCAACCTCACCCTCTCCATCTCCATAGAAACCATCTGGGCAGGATGACTCGCATGTCCCGTCTGGGGTCAAATAGGCACTGTTCCTGCACTGCGTACAGAAAGTCGCGTTCGTGCACAAGCTACAGTTCTCGGCGCATGCCGGGCATGTACTGCCAACGATACCCACATAATTCTTGTAGTGCCCGTCTGGGCACGAAGACTCGCATGTTGATGAGGGGGTCAAGAAAAGGGAGCCTTGACACTCTGTACACACATCTTCACTGACGCAGCCCTTGCACTGCGCTGGACAATGCTCGCATATTCGACCCACATCCGTGTCGCCCACATGATAATGACCCTCCGGACAAGTGGGCAAACACTGCCCGTCCTGTAGGTAGAACTGATCCTTGCAAACAGTGCACTGAAGGGGCCCGAGGCAAGTGAAACACGTGGACGGGCATGATTCACAGACACCTCCAATGCCCTGAATGCCAGGCTTTCCCCAGAATCCATTGGGGCATGTCTCTTGACACTGAGAAGATGCAGTGAGAAAAGAGTTATCCTTGCACTCCACGCATACATCTGCAGAGGTGCACAAGTTGCACAGGTCATCACACGCAAGGCATTCACGTCCAACTGGCCCAGTGCCATTGTGGTAGTATCCGGCAGGGCACTCATCTTGACACCACTTCGCTGGAGTCAAATACTTGGCGTTCCTGCATTCTGTGCAGATGGTAGCCTGGGTAAGCAGAATCACAGAACAATCACAGAGTACCATGAAGAACCGCCCACGCAACGTCACAAGAAGCCGCCAAGGATGCCTATTGCTGAAAGAGCACAAATATAACTTCGAATTCCTAGCCGAGCAGCATCGTCACAGGCACTGCAGTTATCGGCGCAGGATGAGCACGTTCGACCAACCGACTCCAAACCCGCAGGGTAGTAGCCCTTGGAGCAGGAGTCTTCACACTTTGCAGCCGATGTCAAGTACTTCCCATTCTTGCACTCGCTCATGTAATCCGCTGAAATGCACTTGCTGGCATCACCAGGGCAGATCCGACATTCATTGCCCTCTTCTGCATCCCCCTCTTTGTAGAAATGATCAGGGCAAGTAAAATCACACATCTTGTGAGGGCTGAGCCAGGAATGATTCTTGCATGACGTGCATTCATCATCACTGAGGCAAGTGAGGCATGTCCAGGGACACTTTGAACAGAACCTACCAATTGGACTGTCTCCGCGCTGGTGATATCCATCAGGGCATTCGTACTCACAGGTGCCACTTGCTGTCAAGTACGTGCCATCCTTGCACTCTGTGCACTCAAAGGCTGACGTGCACAAGTTGCACGTGTCTGGACATGTATAGCAGGTTCCGAATAGTCCGTAGAAGCCTGCGGGGCACTCTGACCTGCATTGATGATACTCAGTCATAAACGTGCCACGCCTGCATGACGTACACTTCTCCCTGCTGTCACAGCTCGCGCAATTCTCTGGACACATGGGACAGATTCCACCATCAGCTCCTTGCGCCTGGTAATAGCCATCCGGGCACCTTTCTGTGCACTCCCCATTCGGTGTGAGGAAGTGGGGTGCACTGCACTTGGTGCAAACGCCTGCCTTAGACCAAGAGAGCCGAGAAGGCTCAACCAACAAAGCGCAATTCGCGTGAATTGCATAAATTCATGGGGTGCTCAAGCTAAAATCAGCTAAAAGCGAAGATGCTATTAACAATCCTGCCAGGTGGCGCTGACGCATTCTGGGCACTGCTGGGGGCACTTTTCGCATTGTCCTCCCACTTTCCCTTCACGCTTTGCAAAGTAGCCTGCTGGCCAATTACATGAAAATTTCACCACGCCAGGCTGTACTATCGCTGTCCCGTACTGCTGCAGAATTCGAAGACTAAAGGCCCCGGCCTGTGGGACAGCTTGTTTCGCATTCATGCGTGCTTGTCAAATACGTAGATCTCTTGCACTCCGTGCAGTATGTTTCTGACCTAAGGCAATCAAGACGATGGGCTCTGTAGAATCGACTCGCACACCCCCGAAGGCTTTCACAGGCCGGGTGCCCGACTCGCACGTGTTGCAGTTAGAGGGACACAATGGGCATGTCTGGCCGATGGTCGAGTTGCCTTGCTTGTATGATCCGGCGGGACAGTCCACATCACACCAGCCATACGGTGTCAAATATGTACTGTTCCTGCACTCCGTGCAGAAGGTCCCATTGACGCCTCAGCTCGAGCACAGCACGTGGGCTGAGAATCGACATAGGCACAGCCTTGCTGGTGACAACAATCACTCGTCAAGCACCAAAGCTGCTGGGCAGGCACACTGGCTACAGTTTTCGGCACAGAGCGGACACGACCCTCCTATTCCAAATACTCCGTCGCCCTCCAGCATGTAGAATCCCAGCGGACACACCTCAGATGAAATGATTCAAGACTCCACACGTCAGACTCAAAGCTTGCAAAGGTGTTGATTCTTGCAATTACGGCACATCTCCGCATGTTCCATCTGGCTGCAGATACTTGTGATCTTTGCACTGGGTGCAGACCTTCTGGCAACGGTGTAAGTCTTGGATGGAGCTTTTGTGGGCTTGCATGGAGCACAAGGCCAGAAAAGCAGCGAAAAGGTGCGGTGACCGGTGCCTCTAAGCTCTCACAAAGGTTGCATCCTGGAGGGCAGTGTTGGCAGACGCTTCCGATCTCCCCATCGCTCTGCCCGAAGTAGCCGGGTGGGCAGGAAGCTTCGCAGGAGAAATATGGCGTCAAGAACGTGGAGTTCCTGCGGAGCCCAGCCAAGCTAGCCGCTCTGAGTTGAGGGGAATTCTAAACAGAGTCCTCTAGCAAACCTCTGGCACTGAGGGGCATGAGAAAGACGTCCCACCGCAGACACTACTGATAGTGGCTACTGATTGATACACTGGCCGGCCTGCACTCGGTGCATACCTCTGCGTTGGCACACTGGCTGCAATTCTCCGAACACAGCGGGCAACTTCCACCAATTGCACCGCTGCCAGCCAACTGGTAGTAGCCAACAGGACAGGTCTCTCGACACTTGCCGTCAGGATTCAGATGCAAGTGCATCTTGCATTGAGTGCAAACCTGCAGCTACAACCCCAGCAATAGTCAATGGTAAAGGGCTAACGAGCAAAATGAATAAAGCCAGGTGGCCTCAGCAGAATCACAAGTATTGCACGTGTCGTGGCAACGTGCACAAATCGCACCAATCTCTCCACTGATGTTCGGGTAGAATGCCGGTGGGCACAGCTTCTCACAAGTACTGAACGGCGTCAGAGCATTAAAGTCCCTGCACTCCGTGCATTCGGATTCTGAGTCGCACATATTGCAAGTGGATGCACAGGGCTCACACGTGCGGCCGATGACCTCCGTCCCCTCCTTTCCGAAGTAACCAGCAGAGCAGGAAGTTTTGCAGCTGGAGCTTGAGGGATCCAGGTACTTCTCACTTCCACATTCCAAGCAGACTGAATTGCTGGTACACTCACGGCAATTCTCTGAGCACGGCTCGCATGTGCCGCCTAGGTATTCCGTGCCATGCTCGTAGTAGCCAGTTGGACATTCTGGTTGGCACCAATCTTCATGGGTCAGGTACGTGTAATTCCGGCACTCAGTACATGTGTTGGCATCCGTGCACAGGCTGCAGTTCTCTGCACATTGCGGGCAGGTTCGTCCTTACAGAGTCCAAAACTGCAAGTGAGTTCTAGGCGAGGATGTATTACTATTCAAAGCTGGAGGTTTTGTAGTTCAGCCAGGATTCCGAAGTCGCCGGTGCCATTGTGATAGTACCCATCCGGACATTGGGCTTGGCAGGTGCTGTTTGGAGTCAGATACATGTCGTGTCCACACTCCAAGCAGACGTCCCAGCCACTGCATTTGGAGCAGGAGCTGTCGCACTCCCTGCAAATGCGCCCCCGATCCTCAGCACCTTCGTGGAAATAGCCGTCTGGACAGACCGGAACACAGTCGCCGTCAATCAAGTGCAAGGAATTGTTGCACTCTGTGCACACAGTGGCAGACTCGCACTTGTGACAGTTGGTTTCGCAGGGTGGACAAGTTCTCCCTGTTTCACCGACACCAAACTCAAAGAAGTTGTCCGGACATGAAGACTCACAACTTCTGCCAGGTGTTAGGTACTTGTTGTCACTGCACTCGGTGCACTCCAACTCACTTATGCAGGTGCGACAATGGGTTTGACACTTCTCACAGGTGTTGCCAACCTCCTCGTTCCCTGACTTGTAGTAGGAGACAGGGCAGTCCAACTCGCACCAGTTCCAGGGAGTCAAGAAATGTGAATTCTGGCATTCGGTGCATGTCTGCGCGTCCTCACACTGACTGCAATTCTGTGCGCATCGAGGGCATGTTCGTCCAATCTCTCCTTCACCGTGGTTGTAAAATCCGGGTGGGCATTTCTCCTCACATTTCCCACTGGGGGTCAAGTACAAGGAGTCCTTGCACTCTGTGGCAAAGGATGCGTTGATGCACCGATGCACTTCTGGTGGGCACTTCTGGCACGTTCGTCCCCTTTCTTCTGCTCCCAACTCAAAGTCTCCGTCGGAACAGTGCTCCACGCACTCTCCAGAGCGCGAGAGGAACATCGAGCTGTTGCACTCCGTGCCTAGAGCAAGACTCTGCTTCTTAGCAAAAGCAAGCAAAACCGGCGTTTGAAGTCTTGGAGAATAGAATCAAAAGGCACCACAAGACCCTAAGATCCTGGCACTGCGTGTCGCTGATGCAAAGACTGCAATTCTCCGCACACATCTCGCACGTACCTCCGATTGCATCCATTCCAAACTCCCAGTAGTTGTCCTCAGCTTTCACGGCAGGCGATATGTTGCTCTGCACAACTCATCCACATCAGTCAACGAACCAACCCATGCCAAGTCTCCGGACACACATTTTCACAACTGGCATCAGGCGTGCGGAATGTATACCTCAATGCAGTGTGCGGCATGAGGCTGCCAAGACGGCTATGTTACAACATGACTCCGTAGCTATGTGTGCCCTATGTGGTATACGGATGCAAGTCAGCTGATCGACTCAGGAGCCCACCTCTTGCACTCGGTACAGTCGTCTGCGCTGTTGCACTGGTTACATGTCGGAGGGCAGAGCTTGCAAAGGCCACCGACGCCATCCGTGCCGTTCTCTGCATAGTAGCCGAGCGGGCACGTGTCTCTGCACCAATCATCTGGGTTGAGGTAGGTGTAGTGCTGGCACTGCGTGCAGGAGGTGTAGGATGTGCAGAGGCTGCAGTTGTCGTTGCACTGCCGACATTCCCCCCCCATGCCGTTGATGGGCTCGACTGGATACTCACCAGCGGCACAGCCCTTGTCACAAGTCCAAGTGTAAGATGACAAGTACATGTTGTCCTTGCACTGTGTTGCCAGCGTGTCGTTCACACATGTGCTTGCATGATTCATGCAAGCCTTGCACATTCCACCAACTCCACCAGTGTTATCAGGCATGTGGTAGTAGAACCCACGCTCACACAACTCTGAGCAAGTGGACCCACCATTGAGGTACTGATAATTCTGACACTCCGTGCATGCCATGGAGTTTATGCAGGTGCTACAGTTGGCAGAACAGGGCTCGCAGGTCCCAGCAGCCTTCCCCAACTGAATGCTTCCGTAAAAACCGTCCGGGCAATCCGCCTCGCATGTTTCACTCGGTGTCAAGAACATGCCATCCACACACTCGGTGCAGTTCTCTGCTCCGATACACTGACTGCAATGCTCAGCACAAGGCTGGCAAGTGCGCATGTAGCCTCCGCTACCTGTCCCATAAAAGCCCACCGGGCACTCCTCCACACAAAGCGAGGTGTTTGTCAGATATGCATCTTGCCGGCATACCAAGCAGGCGTGAGCTCCTGTGCACCTGTGACAGTTTTCGGCACAAGGGAGGCATTCACCGCCCAAACCGAGCATGCCAGCAGGCGTTGAAGGATAATATCCAATGGGACATCTCAGCTCGCAGGATCCGTCTGGAGACAGAAACTTGCCATTCTTGCACTCAATACACAAGTCCTCCCCAGCACACTTGGCGCAATCGTCCCCACACTTCATGCAGGTGCGGCCTACACCTTTGGTACCATCGCCGTAAAAGTGCGTAGGGCAACTTTGGCTACATTGGAAATCTTCGGTCAGGTAGGTGTTGTTGTTGCAGACCGTACACTTCTCCGCAGACTCACAAGCAACACAGTTGGGAGGGCAAGGGAAGCAAATACCTCCTGTGGGCTGGCTCTCGTTCGGTGCCTCGGGGTAGTAGCCAGTGGGACACATGCTTTCACAGGTGTCCAGATGAGTCAGGAACTTGCGATTTGTGCACTCGGTGCAGATGTCTGCATCGATGCATTTGCTGCAGTGGGGCTTGCATCTCTGGCACCGGCGTGCGGTATCTTTGGTACCAACACCATAGAAACCGTTAGGGCAATCGGCCTCGCAGGTCATGTCAGCGGTCGCATACAAGTTCTCCATGCAACGGGTGCAGAGGAAGGCGTTGACACACATGGCACAACCATGGGCGCATTTCTGACCTAAGGTTTACCACACGAGTGGAGAAGTTACGTAATTGTTGTGGACATGTCAGGGTGCGTGCAGCCGGCGCAGCTAAATGTGCTCTTGACACACTCCCGAGAATCGGACACTTGCCCTTCTCATTCTTGAAGAAGCCGGCTTTGCAGAAGCTACTGCATGAGCGATCCGACTTCGAGAACTTGTAGCCTGTGTCAAACTGAGAGTGGTGAACAGCCGAAGCAGCCATGCAGCGTACTATGCCCTGCTGTCCTGATCACAGCCAAGCTACCGTCGATACAAGAGAGGCATGCATCTGCACCGACGCAGCTTGCACATTCTGCTGGACAGGGCTCACAAGTCCCATGGGTTCCATCCTTCTTCCCGGTCTTCCCATAGTTGCCCTCTGCACACTTCTCGACACACTCGTTCGTAGGGTTCAAACGAGACTTACCTCAGGCGTTGAAGACCTACCGAGGACCTACTGCACATTGACGGCGAAAAAAGGCACCCTCACAAAAAACTGCTGTTAAGGGAAGGGACTGTTCAAGAATCTGTTGTCACTGCACACGGTGCAGCTGTCTGGTCCATCGCAGGCAGCGCAACCGCTGGGGCATGGCAAACAAAGACCACCTTCGACACAAGAGAATAACAACCAGGCCAACTTAACACTGAACCACCGCAAGAACATCGGGGGACAGGACAAGGACAGTCAAAGTCACTGAGTTCTGCACCCACAGAAGGAGTGTCCGAGGAGATGTCGGCATAGTAGCCTTCCGGACACTCTGCCTCGCAAGCATCGCCGGGCGTCAGAAACTTGTGGTTCTTGCACTCGTAGCACATGTCGTCACTTGCACAGCGATTGCAGTCATCAGAACATCTTTTGCATGTTCTTCCAGCATCAGCAGTGCCATCGCCATAAAACCCATCAGGACAAAGTGGATCACAGGTGTGATCGTCTGTGAGATAGGTGGCGGATTTGCACTCGGTGCAATGATCTGGGCTGACGCACTTGGCACAATTTTCAGGACAGGCCACACAAAGGCTTCCGATGGTTGGATCATCTTCTGTGCTGGAGTGTGCGTAGAAGCCATCCGGACAGTCATCATCACACGTTCCGCTCGGGGTGAGAATCTTGCTGTTCTTGCACTCCGTGCACCTGGAACCGGCCAATCGCAAGAAAAGCAAAGAACATGAGAAGCCGAGGAACATCAAGCAAACTGACCAATTCCCGACAAGCTGCGTCTGGTCTGAGAGGCAGGTCGTGCAGTTCTCAGCACAAAGTTCACAAGTCCGTCCGATGGCTTCTGAGCCTTTGCCCCAAAAGCCATCAGGACAGGCGACAAGGCATTGACTCTTTGCATCCAGAAACTTGCCTTGCCGCACTTGTCAGTTCCATGGAAAGCAACTGTTACCGCAGCTTCTGCTAACATGCATTGAGACCAGAATGATGCCAGGCATGCAGGCAAGACCGCATGCAAATACAGCAATGTTACATAATGCATGCTAATGCTGTAAGGTCGCTGTTCTGGCACTTCAAGCAGGTCTCCAAGTCCGAGCAATCATGACAGTCCGACCCGCAAGGCTCACAGGTGCTTCCAAAGAGACCGTTCACGCCACGTTCTCGGCTCCAGTACCTGTTTGTTTTCTTGCCCTTCACCTTGTAGTAGCCGACCGGGCACTGCTTGGCACAGGTCTTCTTCAAACCTACACGAAATTCATGGAATACAATGGAATTGACTGATATACACTCAGGAAAGGCAGCACCCATGGCGCACTCACACACGCACACTCACGCGTGCACCCACACACACAAACAGCAATGCGCACGACACGACACGAATAGACGTGAATGGACGTGACCTGTTGTTGTCGCACGTCGCTCTGTTTTGTCAGACCTCGCCTTCATGCTGCAGAAAAGCCCGGGTCAGCCATTTCTTGGAGGTTCCATGCAAGAAGCCCTGGGGTTTGCACTGCGTGCAGTTGTCGTCTGCCATGCACTCGCTGCAGAGTCCTTTGCACTCCATACATTCCCCTCCAATATCACCAGAGATCTCCGGATAGTGGGTCGCCGGACACTCTTTCAAGCACTGCCCCTTGTAAAGCAAGGCCCGATTTCGGCAGGAAGTGCACACCTCTGCGTTGTCGCAAGTGTTGCAGTCACCTGGACAAATCACCTGAGCAGATTTGAGTCACGGCTCTTCACAGCAGTACATCTGGTTTCCTGACTGTGTCCTCCCTTGCACATAGCATCGAAACAGGAACTCAAACTAACCGAACAAACGTTTCGTTTCCTCGGCATTTCTGCAAAGCTGCACAGAGACCTCCGACTGCACCACCTCCGGATGGTGCTTGCTCGTAGTATCCTTCTGGGCACTCCAAGTTGCATTCCCCCTTATGCGTGAGATGCGCTCCATTCTTGCATTGGGTGCACTCCTGCGCGGCATGGACAGTGCATGAGCTCGTGTTCAACGGATGCAAAGCACTGCATCAGCACACAGAGGCGAGAATGGGTGAAGCAAAGTGTGGATAAACTTGCCAAGACTCCGTCTGCGTGATGCAATGACTGCAGTTGCCCTCACAGGCTACGCAGACTCGTCCCACGCTGCTGTCAGTCTGGTTCTGATTTGGATTGTGTGGATAGTGCGTCTCTGGGCAAGTATCATTGCAGTGGTCATCCGGAGTGAGATACTTCGAATGCCTGCATTCCGTGCACTTGTCCCACAGCTCACATTGGTTGCAATCACCCGGACACTCTGCACAGACTCCACCAATCAAACCATCATCCGGTCTGCTTTCGTTGATGCTGCCAACTTTGGGGTATCGTCGGTTGACATACGGAGGCCAACAGAATTCTCTGTCCTGGCAGCTCCTCCCTGGACTGAGAAACTTCCCATTCTTGCACTCATCTGCAAGCACTGTAAACTCTGCTTCTGACCTGAGTGACTGCAGGAATCGGAAACACGATGGGGGGAACACTGAAAGGAAAGCACTCCCATCAGAGCATCGCCTGCAGAGCTGTACTTTAAGATGTACTCTTAGCTATTTAAGCCGCGCTGGAAAAACGAGCTTTGAAGCGCCATCTTTCTTGTGATTTCTGCCTTACCTTCTGGCCAGGGCCGGCACGTCTTGTTCCCATCTTCAAGGAATGATGCCACCCAACGCTTGGCGATCGTGTCCAAGGCGTTCTTGCAGGTGCCCTCGTTGAATCTACAGGCCAAACAAGTACCTGCAGCTTCAAGTCACAACATGTCGCAATGCTTTGGGAAAAAATTGCCACTGCCAGATTGTATGTGGCCGCATAGCTCCTAAAGCCTGTTATAGTACTATAGGCCCACAGTACTTACACAGTACTCAGTCATTCACCGAACCACACCTCTTTTAAGCCACGAGGCGTCCAATGGCTTTGTCCACGTCCTGCGCCCAAGGGCTGCAAGACTTACTGAAGAACTCCTCTGCCCCTAAAGCCGCGACGAGCGAATGCAGTAGATACCAGGAAAAAGCATTGCCATCACCAAAGTGTCAGCACATGCACATCGTCCTGGTTCGGATAGTTTGAGAAGAAGCCGTCGGGGCATGCATCTTCACATGTGAAGTTTCGCGTCAAGAAACTGTAATTGCCACATTGCGTGCACCTGCATCGTGAATGCAAACCCGATGGAAGCAGCTGGACCCAACGAGTCAAGCAAGCTGTCGGACTGTGGGATTATTGTGGGACTGTGGGATCGGGGCTTGAAGGCTTCGTTCGGACATGAAAAGGAAGCGACATCCGCAGCCTCTCTGCAGACTTGCACAAAGTACATGGCTCAACACACTTGGTACAGACGCCGCCAATGGATGAAGGCTCACCGTCCGCGTAGAAGCCGTCTGGGCAAGTCTTGCTGCATTTGTGGTCGGGCGTGAGGTAGTGGAGGGGCCCACACTCTGTCGCCACCTCCCAGGACGTACACCTTGTACATCCGTCCTTGCACCTGGAAGGGAGAAACTCAGCCAAACCGGTCCAAGACCAGTCTATCAAGCTGAACGGTGCCCTGAAAAGGTGCCCTGCCTGGAACAAAGGCCTCCAATCTCCTCCGTGCCATTTGGCCAGAAACCATCTGGACAATCGGCCTTCGAACATCCAAGATTCGAATCTAATCAAATCCGCCCCTCCTGTTCCACACTACAGGGGATCAATCGGGGCTTGCCAGGCTCATGGGTGTTTGTAAACACTGTAAACAGCCCACCAGCCTCGCAGGTGCTGTTGGGCGTCAAGAACTTGAATTGACGGCACTCCGTACAAACAGTCTCACTCTCGCACAGGCTGCAAGCACTGATGCAATCTTGGCAAAGATTTCCCACTTCATCCGTGCCATTCCTTACAAGGGGCATGCATCTGACAGCTTTCACGCATGCAAACCTTCAGGCTCACCGGATGTTCAATCAAGACAAGCCTCTTGTAGTAGCCCGCTGGGCACTCAGCATTGCACTGTGCACGAAAGCTCAGGCTTTTTGAAGCCATGCATTCTGTGCACTGACCGTCCATAGTGCACGAGCTGCCTTAACCAGGTTTTCAGCAACGCACAATCACTTCCAGCGATGACTACCTTCACGACAAGCCACAGTGGCTTGGGCAGGGCGTGCAGTAGCGTGTAGCGCCGGAGAAAACGGGATGCGTTCGGGGAAGCTTCTCGAAGTAGGTTCGGCTTCCGGACCTGATCAGGGGTTTTGAGCTGCAGTCTGCTTTGGTCACAATGGGGCAATTCCCACCTAGTCAGCTTGCCGAGATTGCCCTTCATGTGGCAGTTGCCGTCGATGAGCTCAAAGCCACCGCAGCCCTCTGCAGCTACGCATGCAGCACAGCAGTTCTCCGGTGGCTCCTCACCGACTAGCACGACCTCCGACATGCCGGTGGCAGTCTCCGAGAAGGCCCCAAGATTGAAGCGCTTTGAGAATGCCGATTCGCATACCGATGCACGGCTGTCAGTTCCATAGTATCCATCAGGGCAGGACTGCGTACACATCTGATCTGGAGCAAGATAGAAGTCCTCGACGCACTCCAAGCAGTTTCTGGCACTTGTGCACGCTGAACAGCCGGGGGGACACAGCAAGCACTGGCGACCAACATGCCCCTGCCCATGTGGATAAGTGCCAGTGGGACAATGAGCCTCGCATTGGAAGAATGGTGTGAGGTATCTTGAGCCTGCACATTCACTGCAGGCGTATGGCCCACTACACTTGGTGCACGTCGGATCACAGGCACGACAAACTCCACCAGCAATGCCGTTTCCTTCTGCATAATATCCTTGCAGCACAGACAGGAAGCTCAAATTGTTTCCTAGCGACAGCAAGTTGCGGGTCCCTAAGATTCCACAAAAATGTCAGCGAAGGGTCCATCAGGACAATCTGTCACGCAGCTGGAATCACTTGCAAGGTACGCATCAGGCTCGCACTCATCACAGGAAAACCAGTCCGGGCACTGCTTGCAATTCTTGGAGCAGGGCAAGCATGTCCGACCCACAGCACTCGCGCCGTGCTTGTAGAAGCCACTAGGGCATTCAGGCTGACAAGTTCTAGCCGAGAGGTACATGGAACTTTTGCATTCCAAACCTTAGCTGCTGCATGCTTCAGAATTGCGATTGCCGGGTCCAACAATGGCTGCGCAGGGAACTGCGCCAACAAGTTGTGCAAAGCCGAGCAGCACTCCTTTCCATGGAGGCATTTGTTGCAATTCGAACTACATGGCTCGCATATTCGGTCGGATGTGCCAGTGCCCGACGAGAAATATCCGAGGGGGCACACTGCTACGCAGTTGCCGCTTGTGGGATCCAAACCTTGGTTTAATCAGCTAAATCAACTCCACGCCACAAAACCGCCCCCCAAAAGCACTGGAAAAGAAATCCAAAGTCCCCACGTAGAAAGCCCCCCCTAGCCCCCCGCATCCTCTGAGAGAGTTCGCTCTCTCTTCTTCTGCTTCTTCTTCTTCTTCTTTTTCTTCTTCTTCTTCTTCTCCTTCTCCTTCTCCTTCTCCTTCTCCTTCTCCTTCTCCTTCTCCTTCTCCTTCTCCTTCTCCTTCTCCTTCTCCTTCTCCTTCTCCTTCTCCTTCTCCTTCTCCTTCTCCTTCTCCTTCTCTTCCCTTCTCCTTCTCCTTCTCCTTCTCCTTCTCCTTCTCCTTCCTTCTCCTTCTCCTTCTCCTTCTCCTTCTCCTTCTCCTTCTCCTTCTCCTTCTCCTTCTCCTTCTCCTTCTCCTTCTCCTTCTCCTTCTCCTTCTCCTTCTCCTTCTCCTTCTCCTCCTTCTTATTCTTATTCTTCTTCTTCTTCCCCTTCTTCTTGTAAAGGGCATGGGGGACAGGGTCTCTCTCTCTCTCTCTCTCTCGCTCTCGTTTCTAATAGCCACGCTGCTCATCGAGTTGTCGCAGACACTGCAAAGGCCAGTTTCCACTTGGCACTCTTTGCAGTGCAGGCGGCAAGAAATCGCTTTGGCACTCTTGGCATCGAGCGTGCTCAACAGGCTGAGGACGTGGAGACTTTCGGCAGAATGGTTCTCCTGAGAAGACAATTCAGACAAATTCAGACACAAACATCTCGCACATGACTTCAGCGGGCCGAATGAAGTGCGTGGCGATGATGGAACATAAGCTCTTCTCGGCAAACATTGGCCGAAGAATTAAATGCAGTATTATTATGGATCTTGGGAACTGTGGATGGTGACTGCTAAACAAAGCCAAGGCACACTTGCACTGAATTTCCGTTTGGCAAACGACTCATTGAGGGAGGTCCGAATACGCGGAACTTCTGAACGTTGCGGCGGCGACGGGCTCCTGTGAATCCTGTGTTTCGCAATTCCCCCCGCCACTACACTCCAGAGCACCGCAGCACGGAGCCATCTGCTACAACCTCAACCAGGATTCAGGAGTCATAATGGACAGCTGTGGCTTCTGAAAGGAGACGCTGAGGCGGAGGCTTAGTTGAGATAGACCTTGTCAGGTCACGCATGCAACTGACACTCTTCAGGCTAGCTACTGTGAACATGCAGTGCTGCCGAGGAACAAATATGAAAGCTGGTGAACGAGGCCATCGTTCCGCTTGGCCCACTTCTTGAGCCAAACTGCAACAAAAGCGGGCCCAACAATGTTGCACCGTAGGTTGATCTGTGTGTGAGCATGCGCAGGCAGCAAGCACGCTGAAGCAGAGGCCTACTTAGATCACATCGCAGACCGCGATCTCCAAGAGAAACAGAGGTGATCTGCTCTTGCAGATCAGTTGAGCCTCATCACGCCGTGTAGCTGTGAGCTCGAACTGAGTGATACGATGCTGGGCGAACTATCTGTTGAATAGTCTCTTGGCCCAGAGCGTTCACATGAGTCACCAGGCACACGCCCGGGTGCAATTCCATTAGAACGACATCCTGGTCTTGATGGAAATACTCATGTGAAAGCTTGACCAGCAGCATGCGATTAGCTGAAAAGACATTGTCCAAAAGCATGCCTCGTGCACAAGAACCCTGACCCAACTTGACCAAACTTCAAGGTAAGCAAGGTTCATAGTTCATACAACCGTAGAAAGAGGAGGCATCCTTTTGCAGCTGTGAACATCACGTCTTAGCTAAGGCAGCAGCATGAGATGTTGGAATGCCGTTGATTCGGTACATCACTCGGATCGAGCATAAAAAGACTGTGAAGGTGAGATGATGGCTACAGCTTTGAAGTGGCTCTGCCTTGGCTAAGTTAGGGAACAGCGCATGCTCTCGGCAACCGAAGGGTCACCAAGGCTCTCCGGAATATCCCTAAAAAGCGGGTCTGGAACTGTGGAACCCACCACTGCCGCCGCGTAGGAAAAACGCGGCGTCAATGGCAACTCCCGGAGAGCGCACCGGATTCTTTATGGCTGGGTTTCCAAATGCTACAGCAGCGGCTAGTCATGGCACTAGAAACACAGCTAGTCCATGTTCAAATATGACACAATTACGCTCCGGAAAGCGCTCTCGCTCTTTCAGGGAGGCTTCGTCGGAAACTCCTCGAAGAAATGTTAGAACCCTTTCGAAACTGGCACTCGAGCAAGGTCGCAGCTTGAGTTATGCGATAGATTCAGGCGGCGCGCTGGTTGCCTTCAGAACCAGGCTGGTATCGAAGGTGCAAGAGCTTATCACCCACGCGTGATCATGAGCACATGCACCCGTGCCTTCTTCAACCAAGCTTGGGCCTGAGACACATGTATGCGTGCAAGTTCCTCAGCTGCATCAAAGCGAAGATAGGGATCAGGCCCAGATACTTCCAGCGCTGCGGCCTGAAAGAAGCATCTATTGATGGAAACATGCAAGCAAATCATGCCCTCTATACAAAATAACAAGACCCGCCAAGAACCTGGACGATCTTCATCGAGGATTGCTAAACGTTCCTGCGCCAGCTCACACAGAGGTAATCAAGGCAGCGTGGCCCATGTTGCAGAACAAAGAGAAGCTGCCTCAGGCGTAAAGCGGAGAAGGCCGTCCAGCAGCTGTGCAAAGGGCTTGGACATCACCTGCATATGAAACAAGTCAGTTTCTAACGAGACCGCATATATTGATTTCTGGGAGTGAGAACTTTCCTCATGTGCACGATTCTGCCTTGTCGACCGGCTTCTTGTCGTCTCCCACGATGATTCGCCGCTTTGCCATGAACTTTAAAAAACCATGCTTGCGCACGTACCTGGCAAATCGAAAGTTTTCCAACCAGCATCAGGATCTGCAAGCAGCAAAGCATGCCGACGGCAGGTCACTCAAAACACTTGCATGCACCCACTCTGGTTGATATCCAAGGATAGTCCTCAACAAATGTCTCGCAACGCTCGGTTCAAGGTTGCCGTGCCCTACAGTCCTTGGCAAACAACGCGTAGAGGATGACTCCACAGGAGAACGCATCAGCCTCAGCTTCTTCCACTGTCACTCATACAGACATGATCTGTTGGGGAGATGGGGCATGACTCCACGGCCTTCAAATTATGGACCAAAACATGCCATCAAAGTCTGCGGCCTGAAAAGCATCATAGCCGCTGCCCAGATGCATCTGATGGAGCGGTGGCAATGTCGCACACTTATTCGTATCATCCTTAACATCCTTCCCATCTAGAGTCTAGCATGGGCACCTCTGGCGCAATGTAGGATGCTTTGCCGCAGGCTGGTCCTTCATGGGCACAGCAGCAACTGTATCGCCTAAAACTTGCCATGCCGTTAACGCTTGCTTTCGTTAGAAGCGGCCTTTCGTGACCTGTGCTGACCTCTTGTCGAACATATCCTTTCGACCTGTATCCCCACTGTCAGTGTCTAGAACTTGAGGTGGCTGCATTCTCTGCCACTTCTGTTGCAAGCGCTTGTTGCCACAATGCACACTCGTTAGAACATGAACAAAAAACACCGAAGGAGTAGGTAGGCAGACAACGTGGGGGCTTGCAGCAGCCATCTGCGCACTGAGATATGGGTGAGGGCATTAAAGAGAACGGCCGCCATCGACCTCTCCCAGAGCCCAGAGAATCCGCTGGTCAAACTTCCCGAAGCCGATCATGCAGCCGGTGCAAATTTTAGTGGATTGAGATTAGGCCCGGACGGGGCCCATTCTCTGGAGATCTTGGAAGGCTGAACGTCAGAGAGTCCGAGGGAAGGTTGAACGTCAGAGAGTCGAGTCACGAAATGGGTCTTTGTGGAGCCGCAAAGGCACCCATGAACCCATCATGCACTGCGGGCTTGGAATGTAACAACATTTTTGACCCAACATGAGGTGCATCTTCAGCGCTGTGAGAGGAGTTCAGAGATCAGTCGGTGGAAACATGGGGCCTCCTGATCTTCCTTTCCGAGGATATTTGCCAAAAAGCGAAGATCAACGACACACACACACACACACTAACGCAGCACAGCCGAGATGGCGAGGTGTGCAAGTGCTGGGAAGAAGGTCCTCACAGAACCGAGGAAGAGAGAGGGAGAGAGAGCGAGAGGGAGCCGGTGAGGTGGGTAAGAAAGTGAGAATGAAGCAACTAACTGAGAGCACCCTGCAAAAGCGAGAATTGAAGGGAACTCGAGTGGTGAGTTTTCGCCACAAGGGGATTGTCGCGCCATGGCACGGGGTCCTGTCTGGAATCTCTTGGTCGTGGCCATGCTGTAGTCGATCAAATAAATGGGTCCACCCTCTCACAACGAGGCATGTCAATCTACATGCAAGCCAATACATCTCCAAAAAGACTCTCTGATGAAATAAGAACCTCCGAAACCCATCATACACGATGGGCTGTGATAGCGGAGTCGGTTCCAACATGTTCCAACCTTCGCGCTGGCCAACAGCACGTTCTCCAGCGAAAGGTCTGGGCACATCAGGGCAGATCATGGGCAGCAATGTGATGTGACACCGAACCACCTGGTTCCATAGTTCCATGATGTTGCTTTTTGTTCCATAACGTTCCATACAACGGAAAGCAAAGAAGTGCGGGCGCTTTGCATGGATGTAACATGATGTAACCGCGCCTCGATGAGCCAAGCCAAGCCTCGGTTTCACAACTACGCTACGAAAAGCTATGACGAGGTAAGGTTGCAGCTGAGGCTGCGGGACGCCCAAAGAATCATTTCCACGGGCATGAGCTCAGCCACCGGCTGATGAAGACGAGATACAGCGCTCAGGAACTCAACCTTTCGAAGGCGTGCTACCCCTCAAGCGTGTACCAAGATGTACCAAGCGCACTTGCCCATGACCACCGCGCTCGAACAGGTTTAAGATCAAAAGCACTTGGCTTTGAGGACCCGGCAGCTATAGGCCACAGTGCTTCTTCAAGGACAGGGCCAGGTTCTGTTCGGCATGCCACCATTGCAGTGTGAGCAGAAGGCACAGTTTGCCTAGCATCATGGCCTGGCAATCCCATTGCATCCACAAAGGTGAAGAGGTCACCGCCCTGGACAAGACACAGAGGCAAGGTGGCAGCGGATGGGAGAATCAGGGATACCTAAAGTTCCCCCCGCCTCTGCCAAACCCATGACAAACGCCACGTAGTCATCGTCCAGAAACACTCCCCAATACTCAACACAGTGCTGAAAGCCAACGATGTTCAGCCACCTGCTCTGAACAAGGCTATACTGTCATGCTGTACATTGTGCAAACTCTAGCGGCATTCTTTGACGGACATCAGCCTGGTAGCAGCCATGTCCATCCAGGGCACCTGCAGCTGCGCAATTGTGAGCTGACACTCCACATGATGCTGATATTGGTACCTCCGTCTCCATGGGGTGCGCCGTGGAGAAAGACTCTGCATCCTGCGGGGCCCGCAACCCGGCCAGGACTGTGCTGAGGACCCTTTTCCAGCAGAGCCTGCCACCTACATGATCGAGAGAGAGGTAGGAAGCAAAGGTTTCACATTTCGACATTGTCTGCCTCATACACAATGGCTATTCGGAATCGAAAGTCCGGCAAATCCGCCGAGGCCTCGGGCCGCAAGTGCATGGGGGGCACAAAGCAGGCACCCCGCCTCTAATCTCCTCCCCAACACCACACGCAGATTGCACCACCCCCGCCCACCCCCCCTTCCCACCCACCCCTACCCACCCCCACCCACCGCCCCCTTCACGCCCTTCTTCTCCTCATTTCGTTCCAAGCGAGCAGAACTCTGCGCAGGATGGCCAACGCGGGTCGCGCAGCGTTAACAATTAGGTTCAGAAGACGTTGACATGCAACATCATCCATGCAAGCTTGAGTACGCAGCGCACTGCGAGCTCTCACACGCATGCAAGCTGCACCGGCACGAAGACGTTCCGAAGTTGAATCTCGAGTCGTGTTGCAACTGCGAGTCGATCAAGCTGCCCTTTAGCATTTTGTCGGAAGCCAACACTCAGCCTCAGCCTCTCGCAGCCTCTCCCCAAGCTTCCTCCAGGTCTTGACCTTTCCCTCCCGTCTCACTGGCTGTTGCCATCTTTGCTAATAATTTTGCAACCATCTTTGCTAGATGTTTCAGCGTATGCAGGGACAACTCGGAACGGGAACCCCCACGCTCCATACAAACAAGACACTGCAGGGAAACCGGTAAACTGTTACACCAGCAAGGTCCTCGCAGGTCCAAGTCAGTGGCATTCGCTTCACAGCCAGCCGTTGCCCCGTTGACCGATCCTGCAGGAAGCGGGGCCCTTACTCCCTCTCGTACAGCTGGCTTGCTTAGGTCGGGATTGATGCATGTCCAAGTATTTCCAAGAGCACCTGCACGAGTCTTACTTGCCCAGCGTTTCGCGGGCAACTCTGCAGCGTTGCCAGGACCTGATCAAAGGAAGAAGAACGTGATCGACTGGTCTGGCAATGCCGTTACAAACTGCCAGCCTCAAATCTCGATGTATCCCATGTCTGAAGCTTGTCTATGCACCTGCCACACGGCTTGTATCACAAGCTTCTGTCCCCTTCCTCCGAAAACAACGCAACTGCACCTTAAGATGGCAGCGTCGTCGACCTAGCCCAAGCTCAACTCAGGATGTCCGCTGACAAACAGAAAAATGTGAGCCTTCACAACGAGTGAAACCGAACCCTGCCTTGCCGGGTTGTAAGGCCGATGGCGCTGCAGAGATGCTGGGTACCTGAAGATCGACCCCTGCATCTCGTAAACTCAACGTCATCTTCTCAACAACACGTACTCTTTATCTGCATCAGTGTACTAGTGTACGTCTGACGTCAGACCGTGTTCTCCTTTCATGTCAAGTTTCCTCGACATGCTATATTGAAAATCTTAGATGCTGGTTTTGTCTTGTACTCTATCATACCAACATCGAGCCTCCGCCATGATGTCGATGGCCATGGCGGGTACATGGCCAACTTACAGTGGTGCAAAAGTGTCCAGACCCGGGGGACTGCCAGTGAAGCTGGGTAACACCTGAAACTGTCTGATACAACTGCGAAAGGCACGAGCAACAAAACAAAGACAACCTCCAACCACCATCTAGTTGATAGCCCTCGCGAAAACATCAAGTATCGGAGCGATATGGACAGGAGTGGGTAAGCGCTGACGGGCGGTGCTTGGATACGGTGTAGTAGCAGCTAGATCGAAACTGGACCTTGCGTGCGGGACCATCTTGAGTGGGCGCACTGTGTTATTGTTGAAGATTGGCTGAGGCTGGGCGTTTGATGAATCACTGCGGCAGACAGCTGACATGTCCAAGCCAAAGACAATTACTTGTAGCTTCTGGGTAAATGACAAACAAAGGCATGCTCCCATGGCCGCGTCTTGCTCATTCAGCTCAGCGCATCTGATATTGGGTCAGTTAAATGCAGGACTTCGTGGAGAACGCCTATCGAATAGTCCGCAGGGTAGAAGCGGTGATCCGTTGAGTAGAACCGCAAGTTCTCCACCTTCGATGTGTAGAAATCCACGTGGCGCTGCAAGCAACGGGCAAATAATGATGGCTGCGCTGTCTGTCCATTGTCACGGGAAGTGCGAAAGATAGATCCGAAATTCGGGTTCATGAGCCCGTCTAAATGACCACGGCATTCTGCTGCTAGAGCTTCGAGCTGATCAAGAACAGATGTGTCATCTTCAGAATGGGCCTGGCAAGCATCATTCCGCAAGATGTAGGAATCTTGGCACTGGCGAGTGCAAAGTGTGAGCACTTGTAGAACTCTCCATGTCTGCTGCCAGTCAGCACCTGACTGTACCTGCGTTTCGTGGCCGACTTCACGAATAATTGCACCGGTTGTCCAACCATACAGCCGGCGTGCATCGACCAAATCAGCAAACAAGGAATCGCCCATATAGATGATGCTAGCGCCATCGACCTCGGACTCGGAGGCGTCAGCTGAGTCGTCCCAGCCCATCAATCGGACCAACTCTCCAATTGATCCTTGACAATACACTTCATCGCCACTCAGCGACTCGATCGGCTTGAACTTGATCCTGCCAGTCCGTGTCGAGACCTCTCGGAAAGGACGGTTTTGCGTGTAGAAAGCTGGCTTGCCGGCTGACACGACCACCACATCAAATAGTTCTCTCCAGTCTTTCCCACAAACATACATCATGCCCTCGTTCACAAACCAGAAGGGAGAGTTCGACACCAGCATTAACTTCTTACCCGAACTGCGCAACCTGTCAAGTAAGTGGCGCAAATGTTGCTTGCTATCTGGTTCCAGATATGTCTGCAAGTCATCACAAACAGAACGGTGCACCTCTTCCGAAATATGTGCCTTCGTTACCGCATTCAATACATCAGTGACGACGCTCCTCGGATCAAACGGAATGTTTCGACTGCGAAACCACTGAACAACGTCTGCGAGGAGGCAAGCTTCAGCAGTGCTAAACATATCGTTCAACGGCTTGAAGCGCTTCTTCCGCTCCTCGGGCGGGAGGATGCCTGATCCTGTTTCACTGCGATAAGTCCTTCGCACTATCGCAGGATCCACCTGCTCACGTCCGAAGAAAGCAATAGACACACGGTATCTCAAAGTCAGCATGCAAATCCACGCAGTTTTCAGGTCTACGGCTAAGCCCCGAATGGCAAATTGGGCATCATAGCCAGGAAGGTCATGTAACATCTGTTGTGGATATCCAAGCTGGCTCACGAGCTGCTTGGTGGCTAGCCCATAGATAAGATGCAAAACAGCCGGCTTGTAGCTTACGAGTGTGTAATCATAGTCGAAGCCAATGACTTTCGCAGAGCCCAGATCAACGAATGTGTTGGCGTACACCCTGTCTTGGGCATGAACCCTCCCTGCTGAACCTCGAGACAAATGAGATTTGGAAGAATTTGACAAGATCTGATTGGCCAGCTTTTCCGCTTTCTCCAAAACATTGTTGGCATCCTCATTGTTCCGGTGGCGCGGAAACTGTAGAAAGCCAGAGGACAACCCACGCGCACTTTGCCGCCGCAACCTTCCGATTCTCGAGGACACGGTATCCTTCATCATGCTGAACGGAAGTGCCACTGATGCGAACCAGAGCAGCACGACTGCAATGGATACATGTACCACACAGCATTGTCGATGTGCCATGGGGCAAGGCACCGCTGTGCCTTGACGCATCTTCATGTTAGCTCTCCTAGGCATGTGTTCGACGGTACAATCCCGAATGTTGCCGCAGTTCACACAATATTGGGTCATACCAATGAGGATTCTTTGTTGCCAAGAACATGTTGCTGACTCTATCCTGTGGCCATGACAACCCATTGTGGTTCAACGGAACTTGGCACATGTGGTGGCAATCCACTTTGGGATCGGCTGCAGGCAATCTGAAACATGAAAGCTGCTTCCCCTTCTGACTGAAGTTTGCACCTACTATGCCTGCACTGTGATTCATGCAGCCCTGCAAGATTGAAGTTTAAGGGCTCTCCCTTTTCGGAATAAACAAACTCTTCTTGAAGGATGTTCCCATCACGAATTCCTACAGAACAGGGCCCCCTATGTGTTTAGGATTTAGCAAATAAGGTCGTTGCTCAAAAAACGAATGGGAACTAAGCTTCGTGGGGGCACGAAAAACTCTCCAATTTATGATTTAAAGGATTTCGGGACTAAGATAGGGATTTCCTACGCTTTCGGGCTTTGCCAATATGATTTAAGGAGTATGGTGAAAGGTGAAAGTGAGGGAGGGCCACCCGGCTTCTGGTTTACGCATTAGGATTGGGGGATCAAGAATAAAGGAATACGAATTAGAGAACAGGCTTGGCGAAAAGGATTAGGGCATTGGGTTTGTGTTCTTTAGGATTTACGGGCTCTCCTCTGTGGGATTTAGGGAACACTTTTTCGGGCTTAAGGAACAGGACTGGGGGAATACAGCTACGGGAATAGGATGTCGGGAACTAGGGATCCCGCTTTTTAGGATGTAACGCAAAAGGGTTTAGGGTTAGGGACCCCGATCTCTAAGGTTTAGGGAATAGGACGTGAAGAGAAAACTAAGGGCATAAGACGATCCCAGGATTTCGCGACAAGATGTATATAAATAGTGTTTTTCCGATTTGATATAAAGGCTCTCTTAACGGTCCTAGCAGCTCTCCTCGTTACGACGCAAACACACAGGGAACGACGCTCAGCATTGGAATGTGGAACTTCAACATCCAATGTTGAAATGATAGCGTTTCGTCACGTTGATGTATCCTGCAATTTCAGTGTTTGTCATTTCCCAGGTACCCACCCAAAACAAAAAAGAATCCAAAAAACTCCACACTTTCCAAACCTTCCGATACATCCTCAATCCAAAAATTCCGAAAAAGTCGAAAATTCCGGCCCGGGCCCTGGACAGGCCTGGAACTGTTGGAAACTTAAAGAAACCAAACGGAATTCCGAAAATTCAAAAAACACAAGATTCTAAAATTTCCAAAAAATCAAGAATCCCAGGCCACCGGCCAGGCACATGATGCACATGGGTAGAGGACATAGTCCCGTCGGTAATCCTTGAAGAAAACTTTGGATTTTTGGGAACGTGTACATGGTCCAGATGCGACCTCGGAGTCTCTGAGGATCGGCATCTGCAGACTTACAGCGGTTTGCGCTGCAATGAGACCTGAGGACCTGCGACATCTGCTGAGACAGGGCGCAGTGACCGCAATGGCTGTTTTAGCCACACAGCAGCGCAGCATGCGACTTTTCATTGACGAAAAGCAGCTTTGCGACAGCGAGCCAACACGGTTTGCACAAAGCAATACGAAAGCTCATCGCAACAGAGCAACAGATAAGCGTAAAAACACAAGTTAGAATGGAGCAGAAGGTGGGTGAAAAGAAAGCGCGTTGCTTAAGCAAAGATGCATGCTTTTTTTTTTTAACCGACGCCTCTTTACTACATCAGCAGCGCAGTAGGCCGTTTTTTGTGGGTCTCAACTAGAGGTAAAACAGAGCAGGTGCAAAACCAAAGCAAACACACACCAAAACCACCACAAACACAGCCACCAAACCCGCAACAACCCGCCAAAACCAAAGCACCCAACGTCAAAGTATTTCCCGCGCTCAGTGCTTAAGGTTGTCGCAGAAGTCCAGGTGTAATCAAGCAGCGCAGAGCATGCGGAAGGGTCGCAAAATGCGATGGTTTGCCAGATTATCAAAATTACCATCATGAAGCCACAGGCGCAACGAAGGTCGGCAAGGAAAGCTGTAAAACAAGTAAGGACAGCGGATTTACCGACCGACACGGTCAGGCGCCAGACGTAGCAAAAAGGGAAGGCACCAATTGGCCAACTTTCCCAAAGGAGAGGTAAGGCCTGCACGCGCCCCACGGTGGTCAGCCAGTGGGAACTTGTTGGCAAGAACAACTGATGCAAGACCAGCCCAGGGCACCCCATGGTGGTCAGCCAGTAAAGCGCCCCAAGCAACAGCCAAGTAGCAACAGCTACCGATTCAGCGGGGAGAGACTACCAGGCCGCAGTCAAACCCTTTCGCCGGCCCACAGCACATCATTGCCATGGATTCTTCCCACTCAGGGTGTTGCGGACGATACCATGTAGAGGGCGTTTCATCACGCCTACTTGATTGATTGGCCTGCGTGCTGACTCCCTTAACAGCAGTTGACGGTCAGCAGCAAAGGTAGTGCGGGGTGACAGACAGGCTTTTCTCATCGACCCCCCACGCTAAGATGCCAGTTGGAATGGGAACTTCTGCATGCCGTGCCATTGGCTTTGGCTGAATGCCACACCGTCCGAATGGCCTTCTGCACTTGCCAAATACTGCACAGCACCGTCTTCCCGGAACTGGAAGGAAAAGGTGGAGAGGGCAGTTGCAAGGGCCGAGGGCTCAGGCTTCTTGGGTTTGCCGTGGCAGTACATTTTATACCAGAAGCCGTTAAGGCGTTGCTTGGCCATGTCTGTTCGGCGTTGTACTAAGTCCTTGCCAGTGCTTATTCTCCGGCTGGAAATTGAAAAGGGGTAGAAACATCACTTCTCGCAAGGCCGCAAGGTCAGTAGTACGCAGCTTCGAAAACCGCCAATTATGCACCTAAGCTTCGAACTTGTCAGCCGGCTTAGGTGTTTCTGCAATAGGTGCAGGCGAAGCCTTCTTAGTGTCAGAAGAGATGCAACACACTTAAGGGGGCCTGTGTCGTAGCCGCAGAGGGCTTCAATGTTAGGCGGCGCAAGAAGGCTCTTTAAAGGCAGCACTTGCCGGAGGAAAACCGCAACCCTTGCGGTGGTGTTAGGCCACTTCAAATTGTAGACCGACTAGAAGTGTTCAATGTTCTGGTTTGCAACGGAGGCAGCAAGGGCCTGCCGAATGGCATCAAGAAAGTGAACTGGTGGCACACCTGGCCTAAATTCTTAATACTGGCGGTGCCCCAGTGTTTGCAAGCCTTAAAGCAAAAGCCGACAAAAGCATTAAAGCTAGGTTCCAGCGCTAACCTGGCAGTTTCAAGATTTGTGTGCTTGGCAGCCTCCGCCCAGGCCCTTAAGGCTTCCGGCGATGCTTGTCCGTGGACTTGGGGAAGTTTGTGAAAAGCAGAGCTCGCGCAGCAGTCTCTTTTCCACTTTGCACTTGAGCCAAACACCAAAGTGTTCAGCAAGCTTCAGTTCTTGCAGCAAGCTCTCTCCAAGAGCGAAGGGTTCCAAAAAGCTACGAATTCCATCTCAACTTTGTTCTACAAAGGAGGTAAAGCAAAAGAACAATGCAACTGCTTTGGTCTACACCTCGGGGACTTCAGGTCACTTCCGAACAGCAAAACAGCGAAGCTTCAGAGTCCACTCTGCACTCCTACTCCCATCCTACACGTCCAACGGCAACGAACGAAGTGGCGGGGACACGGAGTGAGTTGCAGCAAGACAGAACCTCAGAGTTCTGACACGCACTTCTTCACTACTGCTCTCATGCAGTTCCAAGTGCTTCAAAACTCATCCTAGGCCATGCCAACAAGACAAGACATGCGTCGCAGTCAACCCAAACATGCTTTAGGGACTTTGGGCAAAACCAAACATGCTCATGCCAAGTCCTGCAGCAGAAAACTCTCATGCTTCTCTCTGTACAGTAAAACACCACATGGCACCAACTGGGCAAACACTACAGGTGAATTTTTCTTTCCGAGCGGGCAAAACGGTCGCAGCTCCAAGGCTAAGTGAAAAGGAAAAACTACCAGGACACCGATCTACAGCAGAGACTACCTGCCTACAGAAAGTGTCGCCCCGCCACCCGCAGGTAACGGAGCAAACTGCTGCACGCGAGTCAAGCTGGACCAGGTGTCAAGTGCCAAAGCGCGGATGCCGAGAGAGCCACGAATTCAACGGGCATGCAGGCAAGTCCCGGCATCCTCCTTCACAGCACTGAAGCAAACACTGATTCTCCAATCTCTGGTAAAAGCGAATCCGAAGCTCAAAGACTGCAAGCTGCCAGTCAAGGCCCCATTCTCCTCGCTCTGGTTGAAATCGAATCCGAAGCTCAAGGACAGCAAGCTGCCAGGCAAGGCCACATTCTCCAAGCGCTGCCTGAAATGATGTCCGAAACTCAAGGACTGCAAGCTGCCAGGAAAGGCCACATTCTCCAAGCTCTGGTGAAGCAATGCCCGAAGCTCAAGGACTGCAAGCTGCCAGGCTCCAAGCTCCGGTTGAATCATATCCGAAGCCCGAAGCTCAAGGACTGCAAGCTGCCAGGCAAAGCCACGTTCTCCAAGCTCTGGCTGGAACACACTTCTAAGCTCAAAGGACTGCAAGCTGCCAGGCAAAGCCACATTCTCCAAGCTATGGTCAAAACATGCCCCGAAGCTCAAGGAGTGCAAGCTGCCAGGCAAGGTCACAATCTCCTAGCTCTGAATGAAGCAGTCTCCGAACCTCAAAGACTGCAACCCGCCTGGCAAAACCACATTCTCCAAGCACTGGTTGAAACACTATCCAACGCTCAAGAAATGCAAACGGCCAGGCACGGCCACATTCTCCAATCTCTGGTTAAAAGCGAATCCGAAGCTCAAGGACTGCAAGCTGCCAGTCAAGGCCCCATTCTCCTAGCTCTGGTTGAAATCGAATCCGAAGCTCAAGGACAGCAAGCTGCCAGGCAAGGCCACATTCTCCAAGCGCTGCCTGAAATGATGTCCAAAACTCAGGGATTGCAAGCTGCCAGGAAAGGCCACATTCTCCAAGCTCTGGTTGAAGCAATGCCCGAAGCTCAAGGACTGCAAGCTGCCAGGCAACGCCACGTTCTCCAAGCTCCCGTTGAATCGTATCCGAAGCCCGAAGCTCAAGGACTGCAAGCTGCCAGGCAAAGACACGTTCTCCAAGCTCTGGCTGGAACACACTTCTAAGCTCAAGGACTGCAAGCTGCCAAACATGCCCCGAAGCTCAAGGAGTGCAAGCTGCCAGGCAAGGTCACAATGAGCTCTGTATGAAGCAGTCTCCGAACCTCAAAGACTGCACCCGCCTGGCAAAACCACATTCTTCAAGCTCTTGGTTGAAACACTATCCAACGCTCAAGGAATGCAAGCGGCCAGGCATGGCCACATTCTCCAATCTCTGGTTAAAAGCGAATCCGAAGCTCAAGGACTGCAAGCTAAGCCACGTTCTCCAAGCTCTGGCTGGAACACACTTCTACGCTCAAGGACTGCAAGCTGCCAGGCAAAGCCACATTCTCCAAGCTATGGTAAAAACATGCCCCGAAGCTCAAGGAGTGCAAGCTGCCAGGATTTTGTGATATATTCCCTTCATGCTATCTCATACAATTGAGCCTCAACATTTTGGATCTGCGCCAAGCTTTATAATATCCAACGCTCAAGGAACGCAAGCGGCCAGGCACGGCCACATTCTCCAATCTCTGTTTAAAAGCGAATCCGCAGCTCAAGGACTGCAAGCTGCCAGTCAAGGCCCAATTCTCCTAACTCTGGTGGAAATCGAATACGAAGCTCAAGGACAGCAAGCTACCAGGCAAGGCCACATTCTCCAAGCTCTGCATGAAATGATGTCCGAAACTCACGGACTGCAAGCTGCCAGGAAAGGCCACATTCTCCAAGCTCTGGCTGAAGCAATGCCCGAAGCTCGAGGACTGCAAGCTGCCAAGCAACGCCACGTTCTCCAAGCTCCCGTTGAATCGTATCCGAAGCCCGAAGCTCAAGGACTGCAAGCTGCCAGGCAAAGCCACGTTCTCCAAGCTCTGGCTGGAACACACTTCGAAGCTCAAGGACTGCAAGCTGCCAGGCAAAGCCACATTCTCCAAGCTATGGCACAAACATGCCTCCAAAAGTTTTGCTCGTGTGTTTACACCCCCAAAACAGCTTTAAAAATTTAAAGCCTTCTTGAACCCTTCCAAGTAAGCAACGTGCGCCTTATGAGCCCGCCTGATTGTCAAGTGGAATGAAGTAGGGCATGAGTGATTGCTAATTGGGACTTTCAAGAATTTTGGGGAAATTTGATAATCCTGCGTTGACAAGTCCTGCTGATCATGCACATACTTTGTGACCGGCTCGTGCTCTCTGGTTAAAAGCGAATCCGAAGCTCAAGGACTGCAAGCTGCCAGTCAAGGCCCCATTCTCCTAGCTTTGGTTGAAATCGAATACGAAGCTCAAGGAAAGCAAGCTACCAGGCAAGGCCACATTCTCCAAGCTCTGCATGAAATGATGTCCGAAACTCAAGGACTGCAAGCTGCCAGGATAGGCCGAAGCTGGAGGACTGCAAGCTGCCAAACAAGCGCACACCAGCGTAAGTCGAAACCAATCCTTTACCAGGGCGCTCTGCAAGAGTCGGCCGGGGTGGGAGCCGCGGCGCAAGGTGCGCGCGGATGTGGGGCATTCGGAGGCAAACGGGGCGCAGGTTGGGGACGCAGATGGGTGGGGCTGGACGCAGGTTGGGGACACAAAAGGTGTGGGGCTGGGGCGCAGGGTTAGGGCGCAGGTTGGGGATGCAAGTGGGTGGGCTGGCCCGCGAGCCCTCTTCTGGCCCAAGTCCAGGTTTCGGGCTCGAAACCCCCCACCTGGGCCACTTGTGCCACTTTCAGGGTGTTTCTGGAAAGGGCACTTTGGGGACAAAGAAGTTTTCGGGCGCAGCCTACATCCACCGGCCGATGGGAATAGGCACATTTACCAAAGCCCCAAACCAACAACAACCCCCAAGCCAATCCCAAGGTGAACCACCTAAACTTAATTGAAGGACAGGCGGGTCTGCCGGAAAGAATCCTTGCTTTTGGCCTTGGGCTTCCCCTTTGGTTTGGCTGGAGCTTTCGGCACTTGATGAATCACGTGAGTCGTGGCCGCTGTGTCATTGGCAATCTCCTGGGAACGACGCTCAAGACCCTGCATCGCAGTTTCAATAGAATGATTTTTTGCGCTCTCTACATTGGCCATCGACTTCAATTGAGTTCCCGACTTGATCTTACGACCGAGACCTTTACAAGGGGCCTGAAGCAATGACGAAGCCGAAGTCGAAGCAACCTTGACAATGGCCAAACACTTGGTGCAAGTAAAGAAGGATCCCTTATTAAGCATGTCATGAGTTTCATGCACCTGCCAAATCGGCGGCACTGTGCCCACGATGCCCTGACAGGGGTTGGACGCCTTGCGATTAAAGACATCCTGAGCATTGCATTGCTCCACGTAAAGCTTGCAAACCGTGCACTGAATCGCGAAATTGTTCACGGCTTTGGACTCGCAGTCCCGCCAAACATGGCCCAAAGCAGGATCGGGGTTTGCAAGCATGTCTTTGAGGCGCTGCATTTTATTGGGTTTGCAAACTTTTGGCCCCGACATTGGCTTCACAAACTTGTCCCCCGGAATGACCTGAGAGGATACCCCTCTTTGTGATTCAAGACTGCTGCGCTCCAGCAGCCACGGGAAAGACTTGTCCTTTTTTCGCTGAAGGATGTACCCAATTTTCCGAGCCAAATGTAAACAAACGTCTTCACAAAGCCTATCAATGGCCTCTAAGTCAGGCTTGCTCGCGTCAGCATAAACCCTAGCTGCCCTCGAACCACAAAGCTCATCTACATCAGCATTGATAAGACGGCGCCACTCCGGGATGCCACAACCAGAGGAGTTCCATAACTCACCCAACCTGGTAACGTCCTTGGGAACCAATCCTCTGAGCCAGAGACTCGGCCAAGGGAACTTTGCGCGGGCTTCACGGAGATGCGGAGGCAAAGGAAATTTATCAGAGATGAAGGGACAGTCCCACAAGACGTGTTGCAAATCAAGTGGGCAATTGCAAGCTGTGCACCACCCCGGCTTGGACCTGCTCAACAAAGCACCTTGCCACAACGCTTGCAGGTTAACGGCCATGTTTTTGTTGAAAAACTTTCGCTTTTGGAGGCGGTCCTGAACCGCAAAATCAACCCCCAAGTCCAGCGCATGGCACCCCTCCAGTTTGGCCACCCGCTGCAAGCGAGCCTCTTCCCACAGGGGCAGGAGCCACTGCCACACACGACGAGTGGCATCCAGGCTGGACCAATCGATCGTTAGGTGGCTGTCGCCCTTATGCCAGTGATGAGCTTGGGGCGCCTGAACACCGAGTTCACCAAGATAGGCCATTAAGGCCGCGAGCGGACCATTGACCCGCTTCCACGGGTGCTGTGCCGCAACAAGCCACAGCCAAATGCTGGCCCATGTCGAACGAAACTTGTCTGGATCTACACTCTGCCATCTGCGGAAGACCCTCGCAACGGAACGGACATGTTGCCTCAGCAAGGTTAAATGGGGGTCCTCACAACGACGCCGGTGAACAAGAAATGTAAGATCAAGACAACCTAACTTATGGCGACCAAGGTGTTTGGCAACTAAAGTGCGGTAAAACTTCCTCCGCTTCGGGCTCACTCCTTGGGCCTGGTGCCCCCAAAGCCCCGCCGAGCACAAGGATGCGCGAACGATCCGAATTCTGTGCGCCCGACCCGGAACGGCAAGCTTGTTTAACTTCCGCGAGCGCCCTGCCGCCTTCTTCCGCCGATGCTCCGCCAAACCCAGCACTCGCCTGCGACCTCCTGCTGAGGTTATCCCGAGGTCCCTGTTCAGCGGCTTAACCTTCGGGTCTGTTGATCCCCGAAGCCTCTCAAGAGCCTTAGCCGCCTCCTTGGACGAAGCCACAAAACAAGTCTTGGAAATTGAAACCTGGGCACCCTTAGACTCCAAGTCCTGCCGAAGCCCTCTAAACAACTTAAGACAATCACTGGCGACATGAAGCGGGGACTTATTAATCGAATCCAAGGAAAGATCATCAATCCAAATGTCAAGGTTGCAAGCAGTTTTCTTAGAGGCCAGTTTCGCAGCAACTGGGTGGATGACAAGTTTTGACACCGAAGGTGCCGCCGGGCATCCTGCCAGGACTCCCCTGCCCGGCCATATAGGCGGGCACAGGGAGCCCTCAGACTGAACGAAACGAGGCCCCATGTAAGTGAGCAGGGCTTGGTGAAGGATCAAAGGGGGGTATTGAAGGGAAAGCCCGGAGTTGATGACGTCATTAAACAAGCACCGATCATAAAAGGTCTCCATGTCAAGAAACAGGGTTATCAAGTGATGCTTGCTGCGTCGCACCGTTTCCCCCAACATCAACCTGGCAAGGGCCACATCAAGGACCTGGCCCCCCGGGACGGCCTTGTCCCATTGAGCCTGCCTAGCATAGGCAGCCTGCCAATCAGCAACAAGTTGCCATCTCAATTTTACCCAAGCACGATATAAAATGTGCAGAAGTGCAATGGGACGCTCACGTTTTTCAGATTTGGGAAGTAATGCAATAAGCGCGAAAACCAGCTGATCCGGCCACGCAGCTTGCCTCTCACAGTGATGGAAAAAATCAAGAATGGCTTGCACTGCCTCAGCACTCAAGTGAAGCAGAACTTCGCACGTCCAACCGTCTAAACCTGGCGCCTTACAAGGAACCTTCTTAAAGAAAGAAACCGCCCGATCCAAAGAAATCGGGGGCAGTCTGCCCGCTTGCTCAATGGCTGCCGCCTTGAGAGATGCCAACAAAGCCGGATCGACCCCGTCCGGGCGCGACCACAAATCAAACCATTGGCGCCACCGAAGATAAATGCGTTCCTGGACGGGCGCATCAAGAAAGGGGCGAATGGTGATGACCTCTTCAGACTTAACACTTTTGAACAAGGGTCGCATACCCTTCAAGGAGGCTTGCCGGAGCCATTTGGCATAGGAGGCATTCTTCTCTTGTTGCCACTTTTTAAAATGAAGTTTATGCTGCCCCTTAGCAGTTTCAAGCAAACCCGGCAATGACCCAGCGTGCCCGTTATCAATCGTGGCCCTAAGCTCCGAGCAAAAGGCCTCAGCCTCCGAAGCATTACCATGCCACATGGCTTTCAGCTTCTGCGCGGCCCGTTGGGCGAAGGGGCTGACATGGAAAGACCGAGAACAAGCCTCCAACCAGACCACCATACGATTCCAAAATGAAGCCTGCGCACCACCCCACCCAGCAAGCGGGGCCCTCTGAACAAGCAACGGCTTCCTTTGGCACCTAACCTGAGAACCCCGGCCTTGGCTGGCACTGTAAACGGAAAGCTCAACGTCGCGACTGAGGCTGGCAAACAGCGCACTTAAACCCGGATTCGCGACATCAACCCCAAGAAGGTGAACAGCCCTCTCCGTGTGGGCCTGCGCAGCTTGCTCACCCTGCTCATCAATGGCCAAGCGGAGCTCGAAAGGCCGGGGTTGCACCTGGGCTGGCCTGAAGGGCGCAAGCTGGGGAAGCTTAACATCAAAGTGCTGCAGCTGAAGCGACCAATGCAGGGCCGCATGGGGAGCGAAAGGGGTGACCCAATCCACAGACAAGGAGGCTCCGGCCGCCAAGACCGGCGCCAGCAAGCCATAGTCAATGTTGCCACCCCCGGCACATGTGGACTCACCTGAACTGATCCACCTGCCCTTAGCCTCCTGCTCAAGACTGGTTGCAGCAATGACATCAAAATCTTCGTTGAAATCCCCGGCCAAGAAATAGAGGCCCCGGACCGAGCGAAGGAATGGAATCAAGCTGGCCAGGATTTGCGCATTGAGGCTGCCCTGAAAACCCTCACCAGCCTTCAAGTAAACATTCACAAAGTAACAATCGACATCCTTCAACCTGAGGGCTGCAACTTGATAACCAGCACCGGCCTTGACAAAATGATGGACACACCTCAGGTTCAAGTGTTTGCGGAAACAAATGGCCAATCCCCCTGAGGTACCTCCCTTGCCTGTGGGATGGCCCGGGATGCTGAAAACACCATAGCCATGAAACCCGAGCTGGGCATCGATAAGATCAGGCTGTTCCGGCGAAAGATGTGTTTCCTGTAGCAACAAGATGGACGCCTTATGTTGAGCAATCCATGGGCACAGGTCCTTCCTCCAAGAAGTTATGTTGGCACTAATCACACGCAGGTCTGCTCTCAATTTGGTGTCGACAGATTGGAAAGGGCATCGTCAATAGCCCAACAAGCCACACTCCTAGGCACATCCCCCGCCTGAGTTTCAATGGCGAGCTCAGCGGCCCTCCAAACGAAAGTGCCCTCCTGCATGAGACCTTGTTGCTCCATCACCTCCACCGCATCAAGCAGGGCACCCTCATCCTGTGATAGGACAGCCTGTTTGACGTTTAAAAGCGCAGTTTGTTGGGCCATTTTCCGAGCGCAGCCTGCAGGGCGCACATCGGGTTGTACTTCTGCCAACTTGTGCACCTGCGCACCATCGGCTGAGCACGCCGGTGCTTTCGTGCCTGCACCTGGTCCCCCAGGACCCCGGGCCAGCGACCCCACCAACTCCTCACACAAACTCCACTTCATGGCAAAAGCCTCCTCCTCCTGGGTCCTGGGGGCTCCCTGCACGGAACAACGGGGCTCTATTGCAGAATCAAAACCGCTGGTAGGAAATTCACTCGAATTGGAGTAATGGTAGGCCCTGGCAGCTGACTTAACAAGCGGAACCCTGCTATCAGCATCCCAGGCCTGAGATACACCGGCGCTCACATTCCCAACACCATGACCAAAACCCCGGCTGTGGCTCTGAACCTCAAGAAAGGCCTCGGCCAACCTTCGGCGCCTGTGCCATCTTCTCCGCGCTCGCCTGGACTGGGGCGGCTGCGAAAGCGACATTGGGGCCGACCCTTGGTTGAATGGCTTCTGGGCGATTACGGCAGACGTTGGGACAGCTGGGGCTTCAACATCAACCTGAGATCCCAGCCGAGGCCCCCCAAAAATCCGAAGAAAGGAACTCAGAACCAAAAAACCTCGGCCCCGACAGGTCAGGACAGGGACGTCCCAACGGAAGCGCCCCACCTTTACCTTTGCTGGCCCCGGCATGCCAGGCAAGAATGCACCACTGGCAGAAGTTGTTCAACTGATGCACCGCCAAACGAACCTCCGTACCTGGGTTGTTTTCTGCAACGTTGCCGCATGCTCTCACAAAAGCCTGAACCTCTGGCACATGAAGGGCACCTAGGACCTTGCCACTTCCACACGCGCACAGCTCGGGCCCTGGGAGGTCCTGTGAACAAAATCCAGCCGAAAACCGATGCTGGCGGAGGTCCAGCCCGCTTGACTCCAAATTGAGGTTCGAATTGAGGTTCGGGCCCTCCGCATTGAGGGAAGCACATGGGTAAGGGCCAGGAATGATACCAACAACGAAAGGCTCCGGCCTCCCTTGCACTCCAGAGGATTCGGCGTGATAGCTGGCCGCACAGCTTGGGGCTGTCACGGCCTGGCCAACACAAAAGGTGCACAAGTCATACACAGCGGCATGCACCCCCCGGGGGCTCACATTTCTTGCGACAGCCAACGGGGATGCACAAAGCTCACAACGCGGTATCGGGCATGCAACGGAGTTCTCCAAGCTAGCAAATTCAATAGACTGCGCCCAATGCTGACCACTCTCTTGCCTCAAGCTGCCGAGCGAAACGGACTTGTCCGAAATGACATACGGCTCGGCATACTGAGTGTAGGGCCCGAACGCATCAAGCTGGATTGACGCAGGCGGCTGCTGAAAATCACTGTCCAATACATCGCCAGACAAAGCAACGGGTTCCTCCGCGTCATTGTCTAGCTCATTGCACAGCTGGAGCCGGGATTTAAGGGCTGAAGGCAGGCTATAATCAAGGAAATGCACAGGTTTGTCACAGCTTGGATCTGCAAACACAGCACTCCCCACCGACGCAAGACGGCCTACAACCCCTATCCCCGATCCCTAACCTTGCTGGGCACGACCCCGACTGCGAGACCGGTCCTTGCCTTCACCTGCAGGCATGGCCTCACCAGCCTGTCCCGGCCCTGTGGGAGCCTCCGGCTCTTGGGCTGGCAATGGCTTCGCTGCCGGCGCCTCAGTACGCCTGCGCTTCACAGCCTCCTCCAGCGCATCAATCACCCTCTGCTTGTAGTCATCAAGCTGGTCTACATCCATAGCCTCAACCTGCTTGGCAAGAGACTCTGTTGCCTCGGGCAAGGCCTCGGGAGTAGGAACAGCAGCAACAGACGACTGAAGCTCGAGCTGCAAGGAAGACACCAACTTCTGCCGTGCCTCCAAGGTTTCATTAATGACTTTCATGTCTGCAAGCATGCTGGTGAAAAGCTCCTTATGCTTATCCAAGCGCAACTGCAAAGAAGACTTCTTGAAGATAAGCTCTCGCAGCTCAGTTGTTGCAACCTTAAACTGTTTGCTCTTTTCACTCATCAGTTCCTGTGCTGTTGGAGGCTTTTCAGGGGGATCCTCAACAAGCTTGCGGATGTCAGCAGGCAGGGAACTCATGTGCTGTTTGCACAATGCAGTCAAATCAGGCTGCGGCTCCTCAGGGGCCTTGATGCCCAGCTGAATGAGAAGCGCCCGCTGTTCATCACTCGCAGAAGCAAACAATGCCTTTGCTGTTTCTACACGCACAGCCTCAGCTTCAGCACCGCCACTGGCACCATGTCCCTTGCCCGAGCCCCCTTTCCATGGCCTCACGCCTTCCTGCTTCGACTGATTGCCCTTTCCTCCCAGCCCCGGCGGGGAAGCTGGAGGTCGCGGCTGCCAGCCAGCCAACTCGATGGCCTGCTGCGCCGGCCCAGGGAGAGAGTCCCACACAGTCACCAGAGCCCTCTGCGCGGCCCCCACAGGAGCGTTGCCTGCACGGTCCTTTGTGGCCTTGGGGCCCTTGTTCTTCCACACACGGGCCTGTTCACTTCGGTTCGCCCAGTCAGCACCTGCAATTGCATTGGGCTGCTGTGGCTTCGGCTTCGGCCACTGGCAACCACACTTCTGGCAAAAAGGATTCGCCCCGACACGATCCTGAAAGATCCAGCTGCTCGGCCCACACTTCTTGCAAACAAAATAGGCACGAGTCATGCCTGCCTTCTCTGCTCGGGTGCGATTGCTGCCGCTCTTCAAGAAAACTGTACTGCAAGAAAAGTATGGCAACAAAACTAAGGGCGTTTTCGCAAGCAAGGCCCTCAAAACAAAGTTCCCTTTTTCAAGAAAATCAAGCGGACTGTGCAAGCAAGATTGTTCAAGTGTTCAAGGGAAATGCAATGGCTCAACTACGCGCTTCAGTGTCGGCCCTGAGCCTCCACTGGAAGAGACCGCTACCCCGCCCAACCCTTGCTGGACAGCCAGCCAGGAAAGTAGGCCCCAAGGCTGGCCACGACGGCACTGCGTGCAGCGTTTTGAGCCACAACTTGAGCCAGGTTACGGCAGGTGAATTTTTCGTCTGCACGCTGCTTGGCGTAGCCACCCGAAGGGGCTGGGGTATCAGGGTGAAACTTACAAACTCTGCACAGTGAGACTACCGGTACTAGCTCTCACTTCCCTCAGACATTTGTCGAGGCCGAAATCCATTCCCTCAGACCGTGGTCGAGGCCGAAATTCCCTCAGGTCATGCCGAGGCCGAACTTCCCTCTCTTGCACCCCTCAGACCGAAGTCGAGGCCGAAACTCCTCAGGCAGCACGCCGAGGCGGTATTTAGATTCGGTTTTTTTGGTGCCTCTCTGACCACTATCCATGTTTCTTGTCTGGTCTGCACTGCTCACTCATCAGCTTCGTCATACGGCATGCCCAACGTGATTTTCTGGATCTCTATTGCCGGAACCGAAAGTAGGGTTCCATCCCATCCTCGTTTTGCAATCCCGGCATCCAGCAGGTGCTGGGCAAATGGCCCGACATTGCCTACGCACGCCATCCAAAGCGCGCTGGCCTTGCCGTCGTACGTTCTGACCAATCCACGTATGGTTGCCAGTAGCTCCTCATCATATTTCTCCAGGAGGCGTACGAGGCCGCATGATAACTTGTATCTCTCCTCCTGCAGCGTCGTCCACTCCGCCGTGTCAAAGAACACTGCCCGTGGTAGCGATCCTGACATTGGGTCGCGCCCAACGTTGCTCACCGTGATATCCGATAGAGCAACTCCTTGCATGGTCAGCCATGACGTTAAAACCACCAGGTAAAACAGGGACTGTCTGAGGACCCCGGCTTCATGGCGATGTTCCTGCCACCATGTGTTGAACAGCTCTGCCCTGCGGATGATACTTCCATAGAAGTAGTGGTGGCAGTAACCCTCCACCGCTTCGTCGAAAAGGACTCCAATCCATCCTGCCCACAGGGTCCTGGTGACCAGGGTGGGGAATTGTTCCCCATACCCTGCTTCGTTGCCAAAGCTCTGGGGTTCCATCGCTAGTTTCATGACCCATAGCCGATCCAGAGCATATCCTCGTCGAGTGCGCCCCGCACCTATAAAGGGAAGCACCCTAGGCTGTAAGCTTTGCCCTGTCGTTGGGTTGCGGACCAATTGGACCTCCCCAAGCCAATGGAGCGCTGTCCTTGGCCTTTGCTGGTTCTGCAGTTTATGCACCAAAAGGTGCACAGGCTTGACTTGCCCCATGGCTTCCTTTTTCTCCTTTCCCTCAGCTTCCTGCGAGGCCATATTGTGGGCACCTGGCCCTTCCGCCAGCGTGACTGTACGAGGCTGGCTTGCCTCTTGCTCTCCATTGACACCCTCAGCTTGATGCGAGGCCGTACTGTCTTCTCCTCTCTCCCGTTGGCGTACCGGACCCACCGGAGATTCCGAAGCTCTCTCCTCTTCCCTATCCCAAGGCTGCTCCGGGTGTCTGGCCTGTCGAAGCGGGGAACGTTCTCGGGGCTGATCCTTCTGCTTGTTCTTGCCTTTGCCCTTGCCTTTGTCCGGCCGATTCCTTAACCAGGATGGCAGGCGGGACCCTTGTCTTCTCATCGTAGCATCCGTCTTCCATTGCCTCATTGCTACAGGCCCGCCTTGTGCAATTTAGAAGCCCACAGTTGCTTCCGCTCTTCACTGAGGTAGGTCTCCGCTTGGTAGACCCAATCGTTCCTTGTGCTGCAGCGAGCGAGACTGCGACACGCCGCTTTTAGGTGAGTGTAGTTTGCCCTCTTGGGGTCTGTTTCCAGGAACTGCTCCTCCAAAATTGGTTTCCACGAATCCTCCAATTTGATTCGCACCTGGAGGGTCAATTTCTCCGGCTGCTCGTCCGGCCGGTCTTTTGAGGATGAGGACGCCGTTGTTTCACCCTCAGCTCTGCGAGGCCGAGGCCTCCTCTCTTTACCCTCAGCGATGTCGCAAGCACGCGGCACCGCGAGGCCGAATTACACTCCCTCAGCAAAGCGAGGCCGTAAACACCAATCGCAATTCCCCGTTGCGAGGCCCTCACCCTCAGCTACGAGGCCGAAAACCCTGTCTCCTTGCACCAAACGGCTGCGGAATTACTGCGTTCCCTCAGCTTGGCGAGGCCTAACAAACAATGACATCTTCTGCTGTGCGCTGGCTTGGGGCTTAGCTTTGGCGTGTTTCCCACCAAACTGAACGCGAGGCTGTTGAAACTGGACGTTGCTCATACTTCCACCATTGACAAGGGTTTGCGCTTGGGTAGCCAGCTTGCCCTGAGAAGTCCGCGATTTGCACTCACCCGCCAGGCTTTTATTGCACTTCTGGCTGACCGGTGCATGTGTTCTGTCACACTTTGTGCAAACCCAACGGATTCCCAAATTCACCATATTATGGGAGGGGTGGATACCCCACTCTTCACGCACTCGCGCCTCCGGCTGGTTGACGCAGTACTGCTCCAAGACCACCTCCAAGTTCGTGAGGGTTTGTTGTACATACAACCCGCACAGTTGACATTTCAGTGTTAAATTCCGGGGGTGTTCGCTGCCCTTCTCCCATTGATGCCCGCGCTCCGGGTTTTTAAGCAACTGCCAAAGCCGCTGGCGTTTGTTGAGTTTGGCGCTGCCCTGCTCTTTTTTGCATCCCTCAGCTTTCTGCGAGGCTTCCATCTTCTCTTTGTAATGCGCATGGTCCAGGATGAAGGGGAAGTCTTCTTCTTTGCGCTTCCGCAATATGTGGGCTGCGCGTGCACCGTACGCCAGGGAAAGTGTGCGCACCACATTGTCCAACTCTTTGACACGCCTCTTGTGCGCTGGGCTGTAAGCAGCCGCCGCCACTGCTCCACATACTTTGTCTGCCATGTCATTCGCTGCACGTCGCCACAACGTACCCGGCCCCATCTTCGCCAGGAATTCCTCTTCAGTTTTGTGGGACGGGACCCATGTTGCCTTGATACGTTTCCTGTCATTCCACACTTTGCTCCATTCCAGGTCATCCTCCGGCGGTTGTGTTTTTTGTAGCACTTGGACTGCCGGCTTGCAATCCATAGTGACATCAATCAGATCCTCCGTGTGCTCCATTAGTCGGAAAAGTGCACGGCGCTCCATGTCCACCACCGGCTGCCACGGGTAGACCAGCTCTGTAATCCGTCCGACTTCCACCAGCACACCTTTTGTCCAGGACATAGCCACCACTGCGAGGGCTGATGTTTGTACACGTGGGTCTATTCCTCCTGGTCCTCCACTTGCGTCAGTGGCGAAGATCAAGCCTTCCGCTTCCACTTTTGCATCAGCTGCGAAGCATCCTTGGTAGCGCAGACCTAAAAGGTGTTCCGGCGGCTTCGGGTGCCACACCGCCGGCTTTGGCAGGAGTGCCCTTGTCCACAGACACTCCCATGGGTATTTGTGACGCAAGTATTCCTGGAGCTTGGGTTCTTTGAACCCTTGTTCACGCCAGTAAGGACATTCCTTGAGGACATGCTCCAGAGTTGCTGGCATTTGGCACTTCTTGCACCATCCTGGCTTGGACTCCGTGATGACGCCCGCGTGCCACACTGACTTTATACCTTCCATAAGGCCTGGGCTTAGGCCTCCCAGCTTCGTCAGCTTGTGATGCGGCGTCCAATCCAGCCCCTCTTGGGCACCAGCGCCACCTGCCTGTCGCGCTATTGCAGCCCGTTTCTGTTCCTCCAGGAATCCCTCAAGCCATTTGTAGGCGAGGCTACCCATGCGTGGCTGGGTCCAATCAACGTTGAGGACACTTCCTCTCTTCCATTTGCCTGGGTCACTGGCATCCACCTTCAGATCCATTAAGTACGCCATGGTTGCAGCCATCGGCCCCGTGACCAGTGGCCAGTGGTGTTTGGCCGCACTCAACCTCTTCCAAGTGGTTTTCCAGGCCAAGTCAAAGTGGGCTTTTCCGCCACCAATCCATGCACGGAAAACTTTGGCCACCACCTTGAAATGCTGCTTGTGGATTGTGCGCTTTGGATCCTGGCATTTCTTGGCTCCCATGTCCAAGATGGTTTCCAAACTCCCAAGCTTGTATTTACCCAGGTGTTTTCCTACCACTGTTCGGAGCCATTTCATTCTTTTGGGTGATACCCCCACAGAGGGGTGCCCCCACAAAGCAACGGATGTGATCGCTGCCTTGACCACGCGGAGTTTAGTGCTGGGCGGCGGCCCCAGCCTGGACAGTTTGCTATGTCTCGCATGGGCTTTCTTGGCCCGCGTTGCCGACGTCACCAAGCGACGCTTTCGCCCCCCTGTACTGTCGACGCCCAAGTCACGCATCACGTCGTACACCTGTGGCTCATGAGGCAACAGGAGTTCTCGCAGGTGCTTGCTCGCCTGGGTACTGCTGGCCACAAACCCTGTCTTCTTGGATGAAATCGTGAAACCATTAGCGTCCATCCCGTCCTTTAAGCTGCGGTAGACTCGTATCGCACTATCCGCCACTTGTTTAAAGGACTTATGCTGGATGTCAATTGAGACATCATCCAACCAACAATCCACGTTTGCCACATCTCGTCGCCTTTGGATCTTATCTATCACCGGGTGCAATGCCACCTTTGCCAACGATGGCGCAGCTGGACACCCTGCTTGCACGCCATTCGTAGCTCTGATGCCTGCCGACAGCACCCCATCCGCCACCAAATATCTGGCACCCATGTACACTTCCAGTGCCATCTTCAGGATTAGCGGTGGATATTGCAGGGCCGTTGCTGCCGTGATCAATTGCTGAAATTGGATGGTATCGAAAAAGGACTCAAGGTCCACAAAGAGTGACACCACATGCACACCATTTGTCTTCGCCACCTCATTTCGCAGTAGTCTGCCTACGGCCACGTCCAAGCAGCAACTGCCTGGGACTGCCTTGTCGTACGTGGCAGTTTTGGCATAGCCTGCCTGCCAAGTACTTACCAAATCCCATCGCAAACGGACCCAGGTCCTGTACAGGATGTGTAGCAAGGCGATTGGTCTTTCCCGGGTCAGATTCTTCGGCAGCATTGCTATAAGGGAGACTGTCATTTGCTGCGGCCATGCTGCCTTGGCCTCACATTCATGGTAGAAGGACACAACGGCTTCAACTGCTTTGTCGTCCATGGCCTGCAAATGGTCAATCCTCCAGCCATCCGGCCCCGGGCTCTTTAGTGCCAGTTTTTTGATCCTTGCCTTGACCTCGACAGGGTTCAGCGGCTCCACGCTGGCCGCTTGTTTTTTGGCTGCATCCTCAAGCTCCGTCATGAGCGAGGCCGATTTTGCCAACGGCCGGCCCGTCGTCCACACTGCCGCCCAGTGGTCTCGGCGAATGTGTGGCCGTTCCAGCATGTCATATTCCATGTAGGGTCTTTGTACCACTTGTTCTTCTTTTCGCAAGGCATTGTATAATGGTCGCATGCCCTTTTCCATGGCCTTGCTGAGCCATTGCTTGTACTGGTGGGCTGTCTCCTCCATATCCGCCTTTCTCGCGTAGCATTGCTGTTCGTCGATGCGCTTCAGAACAAGTCTAGCGTCCGTACCCCGGCCCAGGATACTCACGAGCATATCCTCCTGGTTCTGCGCATCACCCTCGTAATACTCGCCGAGCCTGCGTTGGACCAGACGCGCCACCGGATGCGCATCGCCATGATGTCTGCCTTGTTTGACCCATTGTTGGACCCGGTTCCAAAAGGCCGCCCTCTTGCCTGTCCAGACAACGTTCTCCGGGTTGTTGACCACCAATTTCTTCCGGACAATCTCCGATTTAACACCCATACCGTCGATTCGGCCTGTGATCGACCTTTCCACACCGGCACTCAGGTGAGCGAATGTCTCACTGAGCTCATCTTCCATCTTGGGTTCATCCAAGATGTTGATGCTCTGTGTGTTTTGAACTGGTTCGTATTCCACAGTCTCCATCACCAGTGCTCCCGCCTTCTTCATCTGGGGAACATCAGGGCTACTGCACGGTTGGGCTACCCTCCAATGCATCGCAGCATGAGGCCGAAAAGGGGTTTCCCAATCCGTTTTCACTTGCAGGATGGGCACCAAGCATTTCGCAACCAGCCCGTAATCGATTTCGTCCGATCCTTGGGCCGTTGGTTCCCCCACTCCAACAAATGCACCACCAACTTCTGTCGCCAGAGTTGTGCCCCTCATGGTATCCTGGGCTTCATTCCAATCACCCAGCACCATATATGGCACTTTGCAGCCCTTGAGAAAGGCTATCAGTCTCGCCAGTACTTGGATATTGTTTGGAGCCTGGAATCCGACCCCGCTCTCCAAATACAGACTGACGATGATCAAATCCCAGCCTTTGTTTCTCATGGCACATGCCAGGAAGCCCGCCGGTCCTGACCCATACTCGGTAAGGTATCGCAGGTTCCTATGTCGGGGTGCCACCACTGCCAGGCCTCCTTGTACACCCTTAATTTTTGTACTGCCTGGCATGCCAATGAAGGTGTATCCCATATCTTGGCAATGGCTCATGGCTTGCTGGATACCCTCCGTCTTGAGATGGGTTTCCTGCAGCACCACCAGGTCCGGTCCTAGTTCGTGTATCCATGCCGCTATGGGTTTCCTCCAGCTGGTGATGTTAGCCGCTGTGATTTTGATGCATTCGGCCTTATCATCTTGGCGATACCCACTTGCCACATCTGCCAAGATCCATTTGGCATATTGCGCGTCCTGCTCCACAAAGGAACGAAGCACTTCGTGGCATGCTCGTTGTTGTAGCGGGTTGAGTTCCTGCTCTTCCAGCTTCTCAATGGCTTCGAGTGCGGCAGCCTCACTGGAAGCATCATATCTACCCACCACTTGGCATAGCGTTTGCCACTCCTGTGGCAGATCTTTTGGTGGTTCCGTGGGTTTTGCTTTCCGCTTCTTGGGCTTTTGTTTTCCTCTGCGACCCTCAGCACACGGCGAGGCCGAGAATCGTATTTCCTCAGCTTCCTGCGAGGCCTTCATGTTCTCCCCTCTAACCGCTGCATGGTCTCTCATCTGTGTTTGGCCTCCCTCAGCTTCTCGCGAGGCCGAATGCTCACATTCCTCTTCGATGTCTTCCCTTGTTATATGGAAGTATCTGGGCCCTGTGACCGCCCAACTGCTGTCCACAGCTCGGACAGGCTCCGGACCCCTCGTAACTGGACTCCAGCTCTCTTGGCTGTCTTCCACTGTGCTGTTTGTACTAGGCACCTGGGTACTAAACACAGCTTGACTGCCTTCCCCATGTGCCTGTGGCCATACAATGTCCCCGTAACACTGCTTCCGGCCACCATCAAAAGAGATATCAGAGTCTCCCCATTGAGACTCCTCTACTTGTCTTGCCTTCATATTTTGGCTGTTCGGACCAGGAGCTGCCCTGAGGTGTCGGCCCCTCCGCTCCTGTCCCAGCCTGTGGTTTCACTCGCCATGGGCACGCGCCGGCGAGCGTTCGCGCCCCGTCGGCGTTGCCCTGACTGACACATCTCGAGACATGCGCATCGGCCCATAGATGCCTAGTTCGACTGGCATGCCCGGCTCTCTTTGTCCCAAGACTCCCGTCCAATCTGTCTCCACGACCTTGACCGCCATCCTCGTTTTGAGCGCCTCCGCTTGCTCCTCGGACAGGATGATCCCTTCCTTTTCAGGTAGGACGCGACGTCTTTGTATGGCGAGTCCTCTTCATCTTTCACACAGGCTTGTACCTTCTTCTGTGCTTCCGCTACCTCCAGCTCCGTGGCCTGGATGGCCTGGCTGACTTGCGCAAGCTGCTTCATGGCCTGCTCGAACTCACTCTTGATCTTCTCCGTTTTGTCTTGAAGCCGGACCTTCTTCTCAATGAGTGATCTCAGCTTGTTTGTCGTCCTTCTGTATGTACCAACATGGCGGCTGAGCTCCTGCTTTGGCGTCTCGTCCTCAGGCTTGTAGTCCCCTGGCGGGGGAATACCCGCTGCTCTGAGCAGCCTTTGCACTGCGGGCTCAGCTCCCTGCCACACCGTTTCAATGGCCGCGTGGTACTCCTTTTGCGTCATGCTTTCGGTTTGCGATCCACTGCCTGGTAGTCCCGGGGGCCAAATGGGCCCCGGCTCCATCGTCCGCGGCTTCCATCCTGCTTCTTCGATGGCCTTCTTTGCCTCCATAGAAAGCGTACCCCACGCCTTCGTGAGGGCTTGGTCGGCCATCCCTTCTTTGTTCTTGGCCTGTCTTGTCCACCATGTAGCGTCGTCCTTTGGCCATTGCCACTTCTTACGCTGGCTTGACCATGCTCGCTCACGGTAGGTGGCCTTTTTCCACGCCTTTCCGCAATGCCAGCAGTTCGGGTTGTAGTACAAGTCTTCATTCCAGACCCGGGTGAATTTTTCTTTCTGCACGCTGCGAGGCGTAGCCACCCGAAGGGGCCGTTGGTCAAGGTGAAACTAAACTAAAAATTACCTCGCTTGAGGTGTTGCGTTCTCAGCTAGGCCCTCTCTCAGCTGCAACCCTCAGCACTCGCGAGGCCGAACTTTGCCCTCCGCATGCATTGCTGTTGAGGCACTTGTTGTGGCATCAGCCTCCGTAAGTTTGGCAATCCTCACTCAGCACTGGATGTTCTGTTCGAGGCATATTTCCTCAGCGCATGCGAGGCCGCAAAGTGAAACACGTGAGGTATGAAAGACTGCTACTCCAGGTTCGTCCGCAGCTCCGGCTTTCTCGCACTTACTAACCGTGCCTTGCAGCCTCCCCCAAAGTAGCGTCACCCTGGCTTTCTCGCTCTTACTCACCAGTTGACCAATAATGCATCTCACGCGGTTGCTTCATGGTAAAACTGCAGCTCGAGGTCCCGGCGTTCTCGCTCTTACTAACCCGGACCGATACTGCAGAGAAGCATTGACTGTTGTTCCCTCAGCGGAGGCGAGGCCGAACAACCATTCCGCTGCATCTGCGCAGCCAGGCCCTCAGCTCCTCACTGAGCCAGGGCTCTCTCTAGACAGAGTTCCCTTGCTGGCAAGCCCTCTATCTCTATGTGACCCCCGCGGTGCCACGTATAAGCAGCTGCTCCGCGTGTCTTAGGACCACAGTTTTCATTCGGATTTGTTGTTGTAGGCCTTCCAGTGCTTGAGGCCGAATCCAAACACCACATCTCACGTCACAAGGCTAGGCAATTTGGCTCCAACATCTGAAGATAGTGACACATACTCTGCGTGGCGTCCGCGTGAGCTAGCCTGTCCTAGAGTTTAGGAGTTCGGCTCCTTTCATCGCTTGTCTTACCACAGGTCTCTTTCGGTGGCCCGTACTCAGCAGCCAGCACATGTACCATCCTCAGACGCCAGAGCCGCCTTGCCCCAGCAAGTGCCCATACAAACCACTCACCAGATAGTGAGAGCCAACATCTTCAAACAACCTCCAGCGGCCGTGCCGCGAGGACCTAAACATCTGCAAGGTTCCGCCTTGTCTGTGTGCACGGACAGACCCCAGCCCTTGCAGGAGACGTGGATGTAAACAAAAGCAGGCCTGCCATGTCCAGCAGGCTGATTACCATTGGTTGCCTTCAGATGGGAAAAGCGCGAAGATCGGGTAACCTCCATCTGAATCCTTTCCGGCCAATACCAACCCTTACAAACCCTCAGCACGGAGCGAGGCCGAAGGAGGCTTCTTGGACTATTGGTTTTCCGGGGAGCAGCCACCACCAGCTGCTCTTCAACTTGCACTGCGCCGCACCACAGTCCTACTGCAAGTTCTTTGGCAACGGTTTCTCAGTAGCACCAGTCAATGAGCTTTACGACACTGATGCCTCTGGTTATTTGTGTCCAGGCAGATCCACCAGGGTTGGGCCAAATCTTTTCTACCTGATTCTACCTGCGAAGAAAATCCTGTTGTGCTCAGCTTGCAGATCCCCGAAAACCTGCAAGCTTGGGCTCGAGCACACCGCAATTGTTCGGGACACTCCTGTCGCCACTGCAAGGATGCCGCTTGCAGTGCGACGTTGGCCTGCACTGTCTGCAGCGTGCCTGGCCGTTTTCCCCCGTGTTTCGGTCTCACCTTCGTTTTCCACACAAGTGAGCGAGGAACCCAAACTCACCTTCAGCACAGCCCTCAATCCAAATGAGGGTCGGTGGGTTTTGCTCACCCAGAGACAGCAGGAATCTCTGGTGAGCAACAGGCTAGCGTCACCCCTCAAGCAAAGCGAGGCTGCAACTCTCACTGTGACCCAGAGCAGACTGTAGGTCACAAGGTTCCCTCAGCAACGCGAGGACGAAAAGCTTCCCTCCAGCGAAGCGAGGCCGAAAACTGTGCACTCACGCCCTTCGTCGACGGCAGCAGTTGGCGGGCCGCCGCTCTATGACAGCTTAGCCGGTCAGCCGGCCTACGAGCAAACACAGTTTTGCCAGGGCCTCAAAACGGAACCTACCCTTAGTTACAAGCCCCAGGGCCAGCCACAACGGCACTAAAGACGCTCTCTACCTGAGCACCCCACCGGGGTTGAGCCGAAACCTTGAGCCAGGTGAATTTTACGTCTGCACGCTGCGAGGCGTAGCCACCCGAAGGGGCTGTGGGTTCAAGTGAAACAAAAGCTTACTAAAACTGTGGGGTGAAACTGCCGGTAAGTTCCCCCTCTCATTCCTTGTCCTCGGTTTTGACGTACCGCTACCCTCAACCGAAGTGAGGCCGGAATGTCGTTTTGACCAAGTCGTTGCCATTGGCTTGAAGACTTTGGCCAAGGCAAATTGCCTGTATGCTTGCACATTCTCTGTGTTGTCTATTCGGGAGGTGATCCATGCCCTCGTTCGTGGAGGCCGCTATCCCTCAACCGAATGGAGGTCAATTCCTGTAGACCCAGATGCTCGTTCTACGAGTCTCATTGCATGTCCTGAGTGCTTCCATCCACACCCCTCAACCGTAGTGAGGCCGGACATGTCTTCAAACCAGGTCATGGCCCGAGGCTTCATGGACTCTGGTTACGGTGGCTGCCTCTTGCATGCACAGGGCATACTTCCTGTGGCTTTTGCCGGGAGGTGATCCATGCCCTCCGATTCTCAGAGGCCGCTATCCCTCTACCAGCGGGGTGGTCAATCCCCATAGACCGTTCCATATTGATTGAGGCCCAATTCTGCACTTTCTCGTCATCTCACCTTGACGGATCCATGCCCTCGATTCACACATCTCCAACACGAGCCAAGCAGGAGGAACAGGTGAAGTACCTGCCCAAACATACCCCTTTTTAGGCTGGAGGACGCTAAGCGACCGAAATCGCCGCTACGCACCGGTGACCCCACGCCACACACCTTCAACAGGTGGCCGGTACAGGCGCCTGACAGGGGGCCGGGCAAGGTGCCGACTACCAGGTCAAACCCACCCTGCCTGTGAGGATATTATGTACGAGGCCGCTATCCATTGTGAGACTTGACATTCTCCAATCCAGCCGTAGCCATTGTTCCAAAGACAGTCGGCTGGCTCTCTTGTTTGCCACCAAAACTCCATACTCTCACTTGGGAGTCGATTACCCTCAACCGAAGTGAGGCCCACTCTGCGACCACGGGTTAGCTGCATGCTTGGTCCTTGTGGGCATTTCTGAAAGCAGTGACAACGAATCCTCCACGGAGTACGTCCCGGCTAATCCAGGGTTCTCAGCAGCTCCGGTGTTCTCGCACTTACTAACCGTGCCTTGCTGTTCTCCCCAGAATCGCCCTGGCTTTCTCGCACTTACTTACCAGTCGACGTATTCCTCACCACAAAGTTCACTGCCATTGGGACTCGAGGCTTCTCCAGTGCAATGCTGGTACCTGCCCTTTGCTGGCCTCCATGCCTGGCCAGTGTCCCTCATCCATATTCTGGAGTTTGCTCTTTATAGCTCACATTCCCTCAGACCAAAGTCGAGGCCGAATGTTGCATTGTTTGATTGAGCACTGCTGGGCTGCGGTTGTACCTATCAATTGCTCCGACACACCGGCACCGCGGAGTCTATGCTTCAAGCTGCTTTACCGCTTTGCGCCCAGTAGCATCAGCCGTCCAAGCTGCATGCAGTGCTTCCAGAGTCTCCCAGACTCAATTCCGGCAGACCAATAAGTGCCCGGCCTGCCCATTCCATCATTCTTCCCTCAGCTGATGCGAGGCCGGAACATCATGCACCTTCTTCATCAGCGAGGCGTTTTCGCAACCCTTCTGTTGTTCCCTCAGCCTTGGCGAGGCCGAACCATCCATTCCCTCAGCCGAGGCGAGGCCGAACCTTTACTCCAGCATAGCGAGGCCGAAACTGCCCTTGCATAGCCTCACATGGCATCTCCGCTGGTTTCACGGGTTCTGAAAGCATTGTGCTGCGAGGGTATGTTGATCACCCTCATTCCGGCAAGCTAAGCCTGCATTCGGGTTTGCCCTCACATGGCCCTTAATGGCGAGGCTGTGCTCGCAATTCAATCCACTTCCACTTGCCTGGTTACTGGCCGGCGACGTTTCATCACCTCAAAGGAGCATCCATTCCTCATCATCTTCCGACAAGGCCAGCATCCTTCTCGACACATCAGGGCCATACACCATAATCACCAGCCTACCCAGGTACCTGATTTCACGTCCGCTGCCATCAATCATCAGGGATGGGTTTGTGGGATCGACATAGAAATCGATGTTCCAAAGCCTCGCATCCTCACAGCATCGGAAATCCCGGAGCTGCAGGTGGAGGTTAGCTGCATTCAGGCTTCTTTGGACATTCCAATTCCCACAGCTGCCCCAGGCTATGTTGCCTCTCCTGGTGCGACGGACAAAGTGGATACGATATGACTGCGACAGTTCCAGGAAAAGCCCTTCACGACGCCCCTGGTGTGACCATGCAAATACACAGCACGCAATTGCCGGCATGGTCCGTCGCTCTCCGTCTGCCTTGCAGCAAGTCTCTTTGGCGTGTGGCACACTGTCCAGGGCACTGTGGACGGCCACTCTGGTCGCCGATAGCCCACGAGCGGAAATCTGCGGTTGAGACGGGGCCCTGTTCCAACAAAGGAAGTTAAGGCCTCGGAACCCTCTTCGCTCGCACAGGTCTGCTATCTTCTTGCACCTCAGTTCCAGGAGGTGTTTCCCTCAACCGTGGTGAGGCCGAACTATGTTGTCCCTCCGAGCGAGGCCGAAGACTTTCCACAATCCTCAGCTTATGCGAGGCCGACAACACCCTCAGCAGCGAGGTCGAAAGTTCCCTCAGCACTCGGCGAGGCCG